AGTAGCCTGTCATTCAGCAAAAAGCCAGTCACACGAGGTGTACTGGAATGTGCTGCGGCGGCAAAAGATGTGCATTGTTGGGACGTTTTCTCAATGACGCTCATGCGCACATGATTGACACGGAAACAAATTTCCAAGAAGGGCCTTCTCTTGGAATCTTGGCACATCCAACAGACTCCATGAAACATCAAAAGATCCCCAGGTGCCTTACCGTCTCTGTACGCGCAAGGTCTACGTCACGTTACAATAACAGTGACCAAAACACCGCCAACATGAAAGGAAAAAATATTGCTTTCTCTTTTACAAAGTCAAAGAGGTTAAATCTGTGACTGCCCCATCCCATACAAAAATGTCCTTTGGTCGGTTATAGAAAATTCTTTGTATGGTCGGCTTTAGCTTTATGGCCCAATTAGCTAAAACGTTTTCTACGGCTGCCTGTAGCATTTTTACGGTCGCCTTTATGGGCCTCTTTAGCTTTGTCTATGACCGTATCACTGCCCAGCCATAGCGTTCTGTAGCTTTTCTAACGGGTGGCTAAAGACTTCTACATGACTTACCTTATGACTTCCTTTAACCAGCACACTCTAAAGAATGTTTTTTTCTTTCAGGTTCCCCCGACTTTTTAACGCTACATGGTAGATTCACATACAACACTGGACACAAATAATTCACAACACAACAGCAACAACGCAGCGACACCGCCCCCCCCCCCCCCCCCCCTTTCTACATACGCTAAGTTCCATGGAATTTTTCATAGACGACCATAGACCATTTTTGTATGGGATACAACCTATAGCCACTTCGAAACGTCGGGACTTCTTTGTTTGGCGGTTTTGTGGCTGGAGAATTATCTTTTAATTTAATCATTTCACATAACCAGACATATCTCTGTGGATGATGTCTATATTCAAATTATGAACCGCTTATGAATCAGGTCGCGGCTGAATCTTCCTTCTTTTTTTTTTTCCGTCTTAACTTCATGATTACTGTGTCCGAAAACCTAAATACGCGAAATGAACCGGTCACACTAGTTTGCTACTTTTTGAAACCTCTTAAAACGGTTAAGCGGAATTTTTGTGATTCGATTTATTTGGCCCAACCCTTACAAAAGTATCCTTGGCGTCTCGTTTTTCTTTTCTTTGCATAGGACACGATAGGTGTACCGCGTTACCGCAGTGACGGTCTTTAGATATTGGGGTTCGGCCTGCCTTACCTCTCGATAAAGTGTTCATTTCCCTCCCGCAACACTGCTGATAAACGAGGGCCGTTGACGTTGTCTTATCAATTTTTGTACTTAAAACCGACGCACCAACAGGTGACCTTGTCGTCACGTAGACGCAGTGCCGCTGTTGTTGGCACGGTTCATGCGCACACGTTTTACTTCACATGAATCTGGTCTCTGCGTACGCACAGTTCCTCCACCTAGTCTTGTCAAACGAAGCTTGTTTGTAAGAACGCGTTGGCGTATAGTTAGAAGAAAAAAAAGAAGGAAAGTCTCGTAGAAACTTTAGAGTGGCAGCAAACCACCCGCTAAAACATTTAGTACCGATGTCTAGCAGTAAAACATTGGGTGCTACTCTGAGGCCTCCAATATGTTTTTTTCTCTCTTTCTTTTCAAGTTCTAACGTGGACGACTAGACGTTCCTGGTACAGGAGACCACCGCAGGGCATAAAGTTCGCACGTGACATTGCGGGTGAGTGACGTGCTCAAATTACTGGACTTACTACTGGATTTTCGTTTTTTGCAGTTACAGGTGTTAATCGTGTTCGACTCGACCCTTCTTATTTTTATTTGTACTCGTACTTCTCCCATATCTGCTTGGACCCCCCCCCCCCTCCCCCTCCCCCTCCCCCCCCCCCCCCCCCCCCCCCCAAAGAGCGTGAGAGATTCCCTGTCTGGGTGACAAACACCTTGGCTTCATGATTCTCTTTCCTTTTCCCAGAATACCGCAACAATACATATACCGTACATCATTGTTTGTTTTTTTACGTTTTTTTTATTACTGCCAGCACCACTTTGGCATTTAAAAGGACTGTCCAGTAAAATGTCTTTCTTTCATAAAGCAATGAAATTATATTGTCTTTCTTTTAGGCTACGAATATCATCCGCACAATATCCGAATTCTTGATCTTCAACCACACAAGTAATTCAATTTTAAACAGAGCCCAATTGCTTAGATTGCACCCGCAGTACACACTGTGTTTTCGTTGGCAACAGCGGAAGCTTTGACGTAGCATCATGCAAAGAGAGCCACGACAGCTCTTGACTGCCGTTTCAGTAAAATAACTTCGTTCTAGGAAAGACAAAATTCACGGTATTGAGGGAAGCTCAATTCTTCGATGATGATCTTTCTGGGCACCATCAATCATGGTTATCAAAACCGGGTATAACTTAACGCCCGCGACTCCGATGTTAGCATTCCTGACGTGACGTCACGACCTGATCAGCCATGCATACTCGCAAAATGTGGCGTGAAGTTACGTATTGATGTTCATAATTGTTTCAGGAATATTGGGGCGTTTTTTTTTAAATAAGATAATATCGTATCTTACTATATTTAGGCCCCCGCTACGAGACCAGCACAAAAACTTAGTAACTTCCAAATATCACCGGACAATCCCTTTAACTCAGTTTTCACTATCGCACACACTGTCTTCTTCAACGACACCTTTCAAGAAAGGATTATCGACCCTCGTCTGGGATCACTACAAGTTTGAAGATTAGGGGTGAACGAACTTTTTCACCGCATAGAAACGGCACCCTCCAGCAAATCAGAAAACATTTATTACACTTCTGAAAATAACGATTTCTTTTAATAGCCTACAACAGGTCGTAATATAATTATTCGGATTGCGCAAGAAATCTAGGAGCAGACAAGGGCACGCCCGAGTCAACATACCTTTTTCTTTCAAATCATCATCAAGCAACATTGGCGGTCGCCACTTCTTGGGTTAGGTGGCGCAAGCTACTGTCCGTTACAAAGGGTATAACTATCAACATCCATCCATTCATCCAGTGGGGCACGAAGCGTGTGATTGGATCCGAATCTTCGGCGAACCCCGACATAGCCCCTCGTGTCCAATAGACGTTCAGAATTTGGGATCAGACCATGGCGGATTCGGAGAATTGGCGCAACAGAATTGATACAGGTGGCACGCACTCTTGAGAGGGGTCCAGTGAGAACGGAACGACAATGTCTGTTTTTGTTTCCGCCAATACATCTATGGTAATTAGTCGCCAAACGGAAGACAGCGCAGGCACTCCCGGTAACCTTCATGGACGAGGCTTATTCGTTCCGAGATAGCCAAGTGCCAGCAAGTTTTTCTTAAAAATAAAAGCCGTTCAACCTACTTGCTAGAAGGTTGAATAAAAACACTGATAAGACGTTCACAAAAACGTTATCGATTTTTTTTTTAATTAATGAGGGGGGAGGCATACAAGAGACCGCGCGCGCCTGCAGGACAGCTTCAGCGGTCCGCGGCCGCCTACAATATTAGACGACTCATAGGAAGAAACAAAAGCACTTGATTTCAGACATTTATTTACACAAACGTATTAGCACACTGGAGATAAATTTATGAGTTGACTAACGGGAAGAGATTTGAGCTTCCAGTCGCAGCTAATAAAGCTAATAAGTATTACTTACTAATAGCTATGATTGAATATTTCTCTTGGTCATAACTTTGTTTTAACTTTAGCCTGATGCATCGCGCTGGGTACCGTTCAGCAGGAAACTTGAGATCGATTTCACTGTCTCGTGCTTTAGACAAAAATAATTTTTGATTGTAATCTTCATTTCATATCGTGTTGACAATGATAATTATAGGTTTGACAACGTGAGTAATATTCCACCAATTCAAAGTTTTCTAGAATGCACACAAAGAAGATGTATGGGCTAGTAAGGTAAAAATGACATGTGGTGTAAATAGCCAAAACGTTTTTGACAGGAAAACGAAAATGGTTAGGCGGCACTAAAGGCAGTCACTAAGTAAAAACATGGGATGAAAAGGAAGATGATCCTTAAAAAGTTTAGGAAAGCTGGATGGGCGCAGTCGGTGTTTTTGTACCTTGTGATTTGACTTGATGCTGTCGGCCCACGAAAATATTCATGACGTTTGACTGCCCACCACGCGCAAGCAGAACTCGGCGAGATAGCAAAATTTTACTTCTAACAACGGCACTTTTACCGTACGCACAACACTTGCCACCGGAATCGGGTTGTGCCCACGCTGGCGCTCAATGGGCAACTCTGATTACTCGGCTGTTTATGCTGGGCGCCTCTATAATGGTAGCGTTGTGCCGGTTCTACAATATGTGGTAAATGATATATGTAAGACCGGCTCCACCCACAAAAAGCAAAGCTCCCCTTACTAGTAAAAAATCTTCTGTTTCAATACTCTTCTTCTTGTAATAAAACAACTGGCAGGTACAGGACAGTATCGCGATGTCGTTAAGCAATTCTGTGGGGATACAGATCACAGATGCGCATGTTTCCCAGTGTCCCTTTCTGTGACGCCTGAAAACAATTAAGCACTTTTATTGAGCAGCGTGGTGGTACCATTTTTGTTTGTGTGTGAGTTTGGCGGTGCATCTCCTATACACCAACGCGCTGTTGACAAACAACCCCATGTCTGTCCACACCAGGTGTGTGCACTGCGCATGCGCAAAAACCAGATTCACTTGAAATTAAACGTCTGCGCATGCACAGTGCCGACAGCATCAGTTGCGTGACGTCAGAGAGTGCAGTTGGCGTAAACAACTTATGTCGAAACTGTGTATACACAATTCGAAATGCCGCGGACTCTAATGTACAGAATGCGCGCAACGAATTTTAACGTGGGCTCTCCCAACGTTGTCGGCCTTAAGACGCAACTTTGACGGCCAACTCTGACATTCACTCTCCTTTTTGTTTAATGACGACATCCTCGCGCCTGTGAATGTTTCTTTTGTTTGTGGCATCGGTTCGTTTCGATGTCGGATACTTTTTTTGTTGTCAAATTCACTTTGTAGTGATGGGTATCTTGCAGTTTTCGCTCAGGTAAAGTTGTTTAGCCCTAAAAAGGGAGATATAGGCAAAGTTGACCCTGAGAGTAACCCCAGTTCACCTAATGTATTTTGACGACATCTATAGACGTTTTTCACATAGTTAAAATCATGTTTGGATGATTCATATTTGTAGGCATACTTGTTATAATCAGCGATATGATTGTTTCTACCAAATCAAAGAGACGTAACCATTGTAAAGAGCACTCGTCAAATTCCATACGGGGTTCTACACCGCCGGGTGAAGTGTCCGATTCATTTGCAGTTTTGTTTTGCTCGTTAAGAACGTTCCCAATTAAAAAAAAAAATTAAGCGCAATGTGTAGCAACTCTCTTTTTATAAACCAGGAGTTCAAAATTAGGTGTATTACAACCTCACGAGCTTAGCAAGCATGTATTTTCCTAAAACCGACAATTGGTCATCGCTTTCCATATTCAGTACGGTTTCGCTGGACGGGAAAGCGTGCCTCTTCGAACGCACTCAACTGGTGCAAGCCATGGGCCCCTTGTAGACTCCCACTAACCTTACAGCCTCGTGGTGCTTTCCATCGAGCCACGAGTGACGTCACCTTCTAAGAAAATAGGAGCACTAAATCCGGATTCCGGCGTCCCGGCTGACCTCCCGGAGAACCTTCGGGCGTCTTCTGCGGACTGCCAATTTGGGACAGGATTCACTCTGCCATTCTCATCGGTGACGAGTTCATGGGCGCTTAGCACGGCCATGTGGTGCTCCTGGCGTTTTTGATCCTTGACGTCGTCCTGTTCGGGTTGCAAGACAAGGGCGGGGTTGTCCCTGCCGCTCATATCGGTAACGCACCTATGGGCGTCTAGCACGACCGTATTGTCCTCTAGGGGCTCCTGGACCTTGCTGGCGTCATTCGGTATGCCGACGAAGCAGTGGAACATGTCAAAACGGGCCGAGATCCGGCCGGACACGAAGGCCCATCGTATTAAGGTAGAAATAGACACGATGCTAAACAGGCTCACGAGCATGGCCATGGTACGGAACGGGAAGAGCTGCCCGTCCACTTCGTTGTAGAACGGGTACTTGATGACGGGCGGCAGGCCCACGATGTCTTCGCCGCCGAGGCCCCGCAGGAGCAGGCCGATGACGTAGGCGCCCAGGGAACCGTACGTGTTGCAGTGCCGCTTCATGTACACGACAGACACAAGTTGCGGGAACAGGATGACGTACACCAAGTCGGAGGACAGGTACCAGAGGCCGTAGACGGACTTGACGGTCAGGGCCATCGCGGTCGCCATTGCGCCCACGCAGAGGATGGCCACGCGCATTGCCCAGATCACCTCTCGCTCTGATGCCTGCAGGACAGTCAGACAGCCTTCTAGCACAGTGCCCCTGCAGAGCTAAAGCAGCAAGCACTCTGGCGGTAGATGGTATTCACTTGAAGCCGTATTTAAGCGTGTTATTTACAACAAGCGCTATAAATGTGCTCCCGCTTATAGTCCGCCAAGAGTAATAAATACCCTTGGTGGCATGAAATGCATGCTGCAAAAGCATTGTGGAAGCTCGTAGTCGGAATGCGCTCAGCTACTGCACTCTTGGCAATGGCAGCCAGTAAATACTTTCCATTCATCTAAGGGAAACGATTGCACGCCGCGGCAGCGTCTTTCAGTGATCACATTAGCGAAATACATGTTTTTCCAAACGTCAGTTTTGATTAAATAAACGTGTCAGCGCTGCTTGTGCTTGAGAGAGCGATAGGCTTTCGAAACTGACGGATCGCGGAATTCGGCTCAGCGTCTTGCAGGTTCTGCCATACTGCGGCAATTTAACGAACCCTCAATGTGTGCATGTGGTGAGGTAGCGCTCCGGCACAGAACAAGCTACGGTACTGCCCAGTGCCTCTGCAAGTAAGGTTTCTGTACTACAGCGGAGATGTTAAAGGCTTGTTTCCCAAGGGTTGTGTCCGCCCTCAAATGACCTGACGACACTGAACTCTGGACAGCTACCGCCGTCTATGAGCGACGGCGGCAACCTGACGAGCGGCTTGCGGTTCTCTGGTTGCCACCGTCGCTTATAGGTGGCGACAACCTTTCGAGCCTTTCCACTCTGGCTTGCCGACTTGCGGCCGGCCATTACTTCATTCCCACCATAGTACAGCTTCGCTGGTCTTCCTTCTTCACCAGAGTGGAAAAGATGAAAGTTTTCCCGGCCATTTTCTCACCACCACAAGAGTGCAAAAGGGGAGATGATAGTGGCATCGCCATGGTTAAAAGGAAGTGGGAATGTTCTCCGCTCTCGCCTTTTGTCTGAAGATGAGTTTGTACACGTTCCTGGCGAACATGGAGGCCGCGCTGAGAATGGACGAGTCCGACGATGACATGACGGCGGCAGACACGGCGCCCAGTCCCACGAAGGAAACGACGCCAGGAGTGAGGAACTGCAACACCATGGGCAGCACCAGAGGCGTGTGCTCCTTATCCAGAGGCACAGGACCCGTGAACTCGGTTTCGTTCCACCCTGCACACGTCCGTCGATAGAGTCGCGGATAGCTCAATGAACTCGGGGCATGGCGACCCAAACGCATCTTCTTATTGCTCCATAGCTAATGCTATTGTGGCATTAGTCGACAAGAACGCCCAAGAACGAATCCCGAAGCAATTTGCATTAAGATATTGCCGCGAATGACAATTCATAAGGCGACGAATGACTGAACGAAACGAATCGTCTAATGGGGCGAAGTTGGGCCCAAAACAAAATAGAAGAATGCTAGCGTCGCAGGCGTCGATGACAGCGTAACAGCAGTATCGAGTGCTGGGACGAGACTGACCCCGGCACGCTACGCGGAGCGCCTTGTGTACGCGCGTGGGCTTCTGGAACAATCGGCGTACAATGTTCCGTGCACAGAACATTAGGTCCTCGAACAAGCAACAGGGTTCTCGAATTCACAAGAATGCGACATTCACAGAAATAAGAAAAAGGTGCTTCGGCTCCTCGGCACCGAACCTCGGCCCCTTGGCGTGGGCGTCAAGCACGATAACCATTTGACCACGGGCGCACTTGCTCGGAGATGTGCGTTGCGATATCAAGTGAAGTGACGCCCTGCGTTTCTAGCGCCACTGGTGGTGAGTTCGTCTGCTTTTTGCGCAGGGGTGGCACCGACATCAAAAGGCCGATCTCTGGTTGACTCTGATGGAGGGATAGCGGGTAGACCTCAATGCTAGCTGCCTCGAGGTCTACCCACTATCTTTCCAAACGGAGCCAATCAGAGCTCGGCGTTCTGACGTCACCGAGATTCCTGCGTGAGAGACAGACGAACTTGTGCTCAGTATAGAGTCACTGACAGCTTTAGAAACATTGTGTCACAACAAGAAACTTCAAACTTAGCCACAGGACATCTTGAACAGCGGCTGAACTTGTAGGACTTCATCAAGCCCTTCGAATTATATTGACAAAGCCACCTCAGGCATGGACGGTGTTTACAGGTTCTAAGCCTGCAGTCCAAAGCATCTGCACATACCTGCGACGAAGTGAAAATTGACGAATTATTTTCAAACTTTTATGCCATCTTCAGAAATGTATTGATAGGAGACACTCTGTTGAGTTCCACTGGATTCCTGGACAGTGCAAGATACCTGGGAGTGAAGCTGCTGATGGTGCTGGGATTTCCGCCCATACCTTATTCCCTAACGTCGAAATACCTTACTCCAGAAGCGACGTCACTTCATTGATAAATCTCCACGCCCGAAATGCATCACAAAGTCTCTGGAAGAGCTCTGCGCACCATTACCCTCCTCTATATCTACTGGATCCTGACCTAACATACCGTGTGTCAGGTAACCTACTCAAGCGAACTGAAGCTGTTATACACCGATTACGTCTGGGCGTTTACTACACACAAGACTTTCTGCACCGAATCGGAGAAACACAACCCGAACTGTCTGGGATGTGATTGTGTGAAAACTATATCTCATTTATTATGTGAATGTGCAGTTTACGATGCAGAAAGAGAACTCATAAAGAGAATTATTTCGCATCTAGACGACCGGCCGTTTACTACGTCCAAAATACTAGGGGCCTGGGACTCGCCACTTAAAGAGGAGAAGGCCGCAAACGCCTTTGTGCGATTTTTATCAGAAACTCGCCTCGAGTTCTCTTTGTAAAAAGTTATCTACTGTTAATTATTTGTTGTCGTATAGAGGACTTTCCGTTTTATAATTCCTGAAAGTGTACATGTGGGCAACTGAACTTCGCGCTGGCGCGTACAAAAACTCGAGTGTTTTGGGTGAACATTGGTGACAATCCAGCACGCACTTTCAATCTCTTAGTTTTAGTGCCATATTGGAAACTGCGGCATTGTCTTAATTATTGATTCTGCCCTCACAGTGTTAACGTGAGTATTAGTATGTTACCTTTATCTCCTCTACTTTTTCTTTCCTCCTTCTTTTATCCCCTCATCCCCTTCCCCAACTCACAGTAGCCAACCAAGGCAGGCCACCTTGGTTCACCTCTTTGTTTTCTCGTCCTGCCCTTATCTTCTTCTTCTTAGAAACACTGGGCGTGGCCTCAGTATCTCATTATTGATCCGCAGCCAATCCGATTGCGACGTTAGGTGATAAAAATGACAGAGACTGTCTCACTAAGCAATAAGCGGGAACATAATAAGCAACTCTATGCGCATTTCTTAAGCTGCACTTGCATTTTGTTTCTGTTTTTATCTGAGTGCCGTAATATTACGAGTAATGCCCCCCCCCCGCCCCCACAGATAACCCACTTCTATGTTCGGATTAATTTGCTATTTCTTGCTTAAAACCGAAAGATAGCCCACTCCTACTTATCGTAGTGTTCGAATCAGTGATGGCCTCGACATAAATGCGGCTAGTTAGCTATAGCGGAATATAAGCGAACATTTCTGACTGGGAAGTACAGTTATCTTTGATTCCTTCCGTCGTCACGATAACGAGTTTGACAGCTACGCATGACCTATAAATAATCATTTTTTTCACAACTTTCTTGACTGCACACCGAAAGTTATGCCACTCTCCTCATTTTCACTCCATTTGCTCTCGATTTTTTGGTGGGCTATCTCTCGGGATATTACTGTGTACGCGATTTTCTGTACAGGGACGCGCATACGTACTGGTAGCCTTGGCGACCACTCCCACAATCATGGCGGGAACGGCCATGACGATGCAGCCAAAGGCGGCCACGTAGGAAAGAAGTTGCGCCTTGAAGGCGGATTTGCTGGACAGCACCCGCTGGAAGTAGACCTGGCGAAGTAAGAGAGAGGGAGAGAGGAAGGGGATAATAGATGATGGTATTTTGGAGCAATTGGCTGTCACCGAAACGACAGGCCGAGCGGAGGCAGCACCTCCTATCCGCCTGCGTAAGAAGGCCAGACGAAGTTGCGCTATCCGCATACAGCCAATTAAGCAGAGCTAAAATTTTGTCGTCACGGCGGCCGTCATTCTCCTGCGTTTGCTATATATCGCCGTCTAAACCAATCACGAATAGAAAACGCGCCGTGACGTTGCACTTCGGACGTTCTCTGATTGACTCTATTGGATCGTAGCGTACGGCTGCGGTCGCACTTAAAACGACACGGAGTATCGATCAACAAACTGTTTACAAACAAGCCTGCGTTTGCCCACGCTGGCTGTGGGCATTGCGCGTGCGCGGAAACCAGATTCGCTTGAGGTGAAGCATCTGCGCATGCGCAGTACCGACAGCAGCGCCACCGCAGTGCACCGTGACGCCAGAGACTCGAGTTGGTCTAGGCTTTTTTCTGCGTCACCTAACGAAAGCTTCAGCGGTGGCTGGAGATTTGACACGAGTTTTGGTCTATAGGCTTGAATATAGGTCTAGGTGGAGATTGGACACGAGAGCTGCATAAAGCCACGGTCCCATTGCTAAGACATCGTTACAGAAGACCGTCTGCGGACGATGTCCAAGGCGGGTGTCTTCCTTGCACGACGGTCCTGTCAGAACGGTTCGTACAAAAAAAAAAAAAATGTCTTTAAAGATTTTCGGAGCATGGAGAAAACATGTTTCGAATATAAACGAGGTGTGTACGTAGGTAATTCTGTCATGTCTGCAGGTAACAACACCCTTTCTTTTGTACGATGCGCGAGTGGCGTTACTGACATCTCGTACACCATACAAAAGACACGGTGTCGTACATGACGACGGAAGTATATCTGCTGATCCGTCTCAAGCATATTCAAAACATGCTTGCTTTGTACATGCTTAGAGGATGTCTACAAAGAGTGCTTGTACGACCAACGTGTCCGTCACACAAGGTATAAACAAGCCTCGGACTTTGTCCGCAGACTGTGGGACGTAGTATGAGCAGTGTGACCCGAGCGTTCGACTCGTGTCCAATCAGCGAGAACACGAGTCAGAGCCGAATGCTGACGCAGCAGCAATCGTGTCCGATTTGTGCCCCGCCTTCTTTAGGTGACACCGGAACTTAGGGAGTAAAGATGATGAGCGCGAATGGTCCCGAAGTGGCAACAAATGACGTCACAGAAGCCGAAGTTTTATACTGTTGCTTGTCGCGATCCTGGCGGTTGGTCGTAGAAATGCTAACGAGAACCTGCGAGTAGCGCAACCGAACGTGAGTGTCGCTCTCGTAACGGCGTCCCAACTTCTGGCTGCCGAAGTTTCCATGGAGTGCCACACTGGAGCAACACCACAGCTCTCGGGACGCCGCCAGGGTCACGACCGGCGACAGCATGACACTTGTATGACGTCATCAGGCGGAAATTGAGGAACCACTTTTTTTGGACGCGATAAACATGCCAGTCAGAGTGGCGTTCCAGGCACCTAGCGCATAGTGGCCATTCACTGGGAAGTATAGGAGACAAACTAGGAGGCGCCATTGGCCGAAAGCGGGCTGGGCGTATTCCAGGGCGTCTTCACAAATTGGAATGTGGCCAACCAAAAGCCGGAAATAATACCCTGGCGATGGTCGCGAGAAACAAAATTAATAAGTGCGTGGGAGTAACTCTCGGTGACTGAAAATATCGTGCACGTGATGTTTCAATCACGGTCATCCAAAATCATAGTGGGAGAGCGCGACTAGCGGCACGATCGACATAATCAGTACGCCAGGCACCGAGGTTCGGAAATCTACCGTCTGACTAGTCACACTGTCCCAGCAAGGATAATAAATGATGATGATGAAAACAGAGTTCGAGCGGTGCATTCGTGTCTTACATCTTTTTTTGCGTGATCATAATCAAAACATCTCGTGCACCCCATTTTCCACCATAAATAAATACTACATTTAACCCTTATGCTCTTATTAAATTTGTTTCTCGCTACCACCACTAGGGGATTCTTTCTGGCTTCTGGTTGCCCAAGAAAGCATGCCAAGCCCTCTATCTGCGTCATGCCTTGGCTCTGCCCGCTCCTCCCATTGACCAAACTCTCTCTGTACACGGCTCTGCAGGCACCATAGTAGAGCCCCGCCATCTAGAGACGTAGGTCGGCTCTTGCAGAAGGCGGTTCTGAGGGACTGGATCTCGAGCGAAGCGTGTCCAGTGGCCGTCGCTGTCTGACTCGCCTGCCAGGGGATTCCACCGAAGATTAGGAGCAGTCCGGAGTCGACGTATTGGCCGATGAACCTGGGCTCGAGAGATCCGACCCAATCGTTCGTCGGATAGGATAAAGGGCCCACGGACTTGTTCATCATGCTGAACGGAACGCAGAGCCACTGCAACCAGAAAGTAATTTGAACTTGTACATTTTTATTTGATTATATTATAGATAGATGGGGTAAAGGAAAAAAGAAACGAAGTAGTCAACCCTGTTAACCATGCTGGTTTGTTGCTTCCTATAGCGGTGGGAAGAATTTTTAAACTTTACTTTTGTAACAAGCGCGTTTTTTTTTTAATTATCACTCGTTGGGTCGGGAAGTTAAGGCATTTTCAGATAAAACTTTGTACAAGCGTACTTGGCCAAAACTACATTTTCAAATACAAAAATACTTAGAGGAAGGAAATGTTTGAATCCATAATTTCTCGACATCGATCGACGAATATTTTGCAAGGTACACTCTTCTGTGACGAAAGGATAAAAAAATTATAATAGAATGTTTTCCAAATGTATACAAGAAGTGCTCGCCAGCATGGGTGCCTTTTACATGCGGCAAATACACTTAACATAGTTTCAGGCGCACGCTTGTGACCTTTTTGTCCAGATGGCAGTTTCTATCGTGTTTATTGGTTTGGCGCCCCAAACCAATTACACGATAGAAACTGCCATCTGGACAAGAAGGTCACAAGTATATTTTATCTTTAATTGATTTCTGACTCTGTCGTAACAGTATCTACAGATCTGTAAGATAATCAAATATTTATTGTAAGCTATGAACTTCAGATTAAATTCTGTTTTCTTTTAATAGTTTTACTGCATGCAGGTTCAGGCCGTTGTGCCACACACGCAAATCTATTGCGAAGAGCAGACTCTGCTTTAGTAGAACAACTTATATACACTGGAAGGCCAAAGTCTCGGAGCCTCAAAGTCTCCCTTTGAGTAAAAACAAAAAACAAAACAAAAAAAAATAAAATAAACTAAAAAAACTGGAGGGAAGATTCAGAAACAGTGGACAAGAAAATGGCGTCCAGCGGATTTCGGGGACGTCTGAGGACGAATCACGTTGGCTAACACGTGAGAAGCACGTTATTAATAAAAATGTTCCCAAACGGTTTCAAGTTTTGAAAATTAGGTGCAGCTTTGGTCACTAGAGAGTTTCAGTAGAACGCTCCGATACCTCCGATAGCCCCGATAACGATACTATGCATGCGCAAGGTAGGCGGTGGCGGAGTATCGGGTATCGTTATCGGAGTCATGGGAACGATCTACTAAAACTCTCTACTAACAAGGGGGGAACGGTCGGATGGTTGGTTCAGTGGTTCCGCCTCCAGCACGAGCTTCCCATCTTGGACAACACCTGGGCGTCCTCGTGCACCTCAAGCACGCACGCGCAGCCAGGGCACGGTGGAACCATAGCCTCCTCACAAAGCCTGGCAGTTCGACGACGGAGTCATAGAGTGCCCGGTCGCAGATTTGGAGCGTAAGATCTGGTAGCACAGACCATCAAAGAGCCATTTGGGAACCTGGACGTCAGCGCACAGCTTTTGCAGCGACGGGGACCCGAAACTCACTTGTTCGCTCGGGAGAAGTGTGTTTCGGTTTCATAAGTGTGCGTTCCGGAGAGCAGAGCTGAAGCGCCATCTAGATGGCGTGCTTCGAAACGTACGTATCCCATAGAATACACTGCAGTTACCAAAGCAGCCGTCTGGCGCGTCGAGCGACGCCAGGCTCTGCGCCAGGCGAGTCGTGGTGAGTAAAGGGGGGGGGGGGGGGGGGGGGGGGGCTACTGTTCGTGCATGCAGCGTCTATGAGCAGTTCCGTAACTGAGCTAATTTAATAACGTTGGATACACCCAACTTTACTAGATTACTTCAGTTGTGGAACTCCCGCGGAAGGGGGTACCCCCTCACTCACTTCAGTCCGCCTCCCGTCGTTTGTGACGCCATCTAGATTTTCGCTTAATAACTGTGCGTTCCATAGAGTACGGTAGAGCGTCATCTAGATGCTGTGCTTTGAAACGTACGTATTCCATAGAACATTCTGCAGTTACCATAGTGCGTCTAGCGACGGGCGGCGAGTCGTGGTGAGTGAGGGGGGAGGGTACCGTTCGTGCATGCAGCGTCTATGAGCAGTTCCGTAACTGAGCTAATCTAATAACGTTGGGTACAACCAACCCTACTAGATTACCTCAGTTGTGGAACTCCCGCGGAAGGGGGTATTCCCTCACTCACTTCAGTCCGCCTCCCGTCGTTTGAGACGCCGTCTAGATTTTCGTTTAATAACTGTGCGTTCCATAGAGTGCGGTAGAGCGTCATCTAGATGCTGTGCTTCGAAACGTACGTATTCCATAGAACACCCTGCAGTTACCATAGCGCGTCCAGCGACGGGCGGCGAGTCGTGGTGACTGAAAGGGGGGGGCGGGGGGGGGGGTACCGTTCGTGCATGCAGCGTCTATGAGCAGTTCCGTAACTGAGCTAACTTAATAACGTTGGGTACAACCAATCGACCACAGCTCCACTGCGACGTGACGTCAGGACCTGCTGCGCCAGTGTTCCTTGACTAAGAGCTAACCCTCTTACCACCCACTAAATGTCAGCTGGATGTATACCTTTAAAATCGGTTTTAGTGGAGTACGCGGCTTCACTTTGACGTGCTATTTCGGCCGTGATCATTTCTTGCCACCAGTTATTTATTTAGACTTAGATTTCGAGCGGAGTTGCCCTTTAAGAAGTGCAGTGCATGGCGGGCACCGAGCGTATGCCCAGCCAATGAGATAACGACGTCAGCCAATTAGGGTGCCGAAGAACGATTCCTGAGGCAAGGAGTGCGAAGATAATATGGCACGCCCAGCGTTTATTAAGCAGTCCCTGACTATAGAATGTCATCCGGTGAGATGCAAAGCAAGGGCGCACCAGTCCAACGAAGATGCAGAAGAGCTGGATGACGTCAGTGTAGGCGACCGAGTACAGGCCTCCGAAGAAGGTGTAGAAGACAGCGATGCAGGCTGACGTGATGATCGACGTGTTCCTGTCGATGTCGATTATCACCCCCACGGTGGCGCCTGGGACATCGCATAATCGGTCCTTTAACCAATGAGGAAGCCCGACACTTTCGTGCTCCAATGAGCATGAGGTGCCAGTGGAAGAAGAGGTATAGTCATTCTTCTACCACTGAGGCTTCACGGCTATTGGAGCATGTCTGACATCAATGATCGCGTCTCCTGTGCATCGCGATGCAGTAAGATAAATAACTTAGTCGTGAGTTGTTTATACAGCGGGAGTTTAGTCTCCCAGAACATGGCAGCACTCTTACCCTCTGTAGATGAGCAGTACAACCGCTAGCCTGAGGTCTTTAACGTGCATCACGCAGAAGTGGCACACGACGGCGCGCCGGTATACGACGCTTATCTATATCCGAAAAGTCACGGGTGGGGATTGAAGCAACTGATCTCAGGTTCTCTGGGTTCTGCAGCGCGAGCTCTCGCTTCATGTGCTCCGAGCAGGTGTGCGCTAGGCCCGGTCGTGGCTAGGCCACTCGGCCATCAATCCCTTCTAGCGACGCAGTATGCACTATAGACGCTTTCAGCGCGCGCCAAATTGAGCCGCCATAGCCGACCTTCTCTTGTCTTACCGAGATGCCGAGCAACTGAAGCGGGCGTTCACGAGTCTCCACAAGGGCTTATGCTGGGGAGAAGGACACGGTAGAACCTAATATGGCAATTACCTGTCCTGCTGTGGTAATGAGGAAGTGGAGCGAACGCGATAAGAGGAAACAAAAACTGAAGGTCGGTTATGGCGGCGCCCATGCATAGCTGCCTGAAAGCGTCTATAGGCTTCTGAGAGTGCAACGTTAGCCGGCGCATCGCGATTGCCACCCTGCATCTTGAGCGAAAGATTCCGGAGATAAGGAATCTGCTTTTTTCGGACGTCTACCTTGAATGTCAGTATCCAGCGGAAATCGTCGGTGTTTCAGCATAATCTGTTCTGCAGTGTCAAGCACAAGAGGGCGACTTGCGGATTCCCAGTCGACAAATGGGGGCGGAACGAACTGACCATCGCTGGTCAGCGGGACGTCTCACCGAGGGCGGCCAAGATGGCGGCTGACCAGAAGACCTCCCCACACAGTGCCGGGATGAAGAGCAGGCCCCCCATGCGACGCCCGAGCAGTTCTTGAAACGGATCCAGCATGGTCACGTAGCCCTCTGCGCGCATCTTCTTGGCGAAGAAGTAGCCGCCTGCGCGTGCACGCGGGCAGACAGGTGGAGGACTGCTTTCATACGTCATACAAAGGACACGGTGTCCGCGCCGCAGCCATGACGACAGAACAATTTGAGGACGTGCCTCGAGTACGTTCGAAGCGTGTTTGACCATAGCCTCCTACATAGTGACAAAGCCTGGCAGATCGCCACGAGAAGTGGCCGCCGAAATAGAAAAGGTGGACCGACAGACAACGGATGAAAGGAGAACCACCTGACTGGCGCCCCGCTGCGACGAGACGCCGAAATACACTTCTCCAGAGCGAACAAGTGTGCTTCGGGTCCTTGCCGCTGCGAAAGCTGCGCGCCGACGTCTGGGTTCCCCAAGAAATGGCTCTTTGATGCTCTGTGCTACCCGATCCTTGCGCTCCAAATCAGCGACCGGGCACTCTATGACTCCGTTGTCAAGCTGTCAGGCTTTGTGAGTATTTAGGAGGCTAAGTTTGACATATCTGCAGAAAGTTTTTGTGTGACCCAATGTGACGTCATACAAGTTACCGCGGCTTTGGGCTCTCGGTGAAGGGGCAGACACATGGAGGACACAACGCGCGACATGTACGACCCGACGGGAAGAGCCCCATCTCCCAGTGCGCAAAGTGTGCACCAATCACTCTTTACAGGAAGCGATATAAAGTGTACAGGGTTCGGACTATGGGCAGTACCACCTAGGCCGTAACACCACCCGAGTGAGAAGAGCCGACCACTTTCAAGACCGCCTGATCCCTAGACCATGCATGCGGCGCCGCGGGAAGGTGCACGCGGTTGCCGGCGAATGGTAACTCAGTAGTAAGCCTAGATTTGAGAGTGTTCTGAACTTCTCGATCGAGCTCAGGTGGTTTACGGGCAGCGTTTGGAATGCAAGCTGCAAGGAGGAGGCGAAAGCTGCGATCGTCTGCAATCGTTTCCCAGCTTGTCCTATCCGACCACCATCCTCTTTGTTACGAAGCAACACACGCGTGCGCAGGATAAACCATCATTGCGTGTAGGAGGTGTCCGCCGTTAAACTCCAAACGCTCTTCATAGTTTAAGTTGACCCTTTAATTAAATCTAGGCTCCGTATGCCTCAGATTCCATGGTTGCGCCATCTACATCCTTCACGAATCACTGGACTGTAGCGAAGCAGGTCACGAGTACCTCCAGCCGAACCTCCTCGGCAGGCTGTTCGCGAAGAGCACACGTGCTCTGAAGAACTTGGTGGCTGGAGGGCGCACTCACCGATGACGAGGCTGAGCGCGTACCCGAATGGCGCCTGGCACCAGATAACGCCGCTGGTGTAGAGGACCTCGGCAGTGCCGTTGATGTAGCCGCCGCCGACCCAGGTGGCTGCGAGCACGCGCTTGGTCAGTCGCTGGGCGCCACAATTCGAAATTAGTTTTAATGCATAGATTGCATAGGTCCAGCTCATAGACGGCGGTCACTCCACTTTCGTGTTTCTTCTTTGTTACACTGGTCATACAGAAAGTCGCATTTTTCACCCACAATGAGCGAAGGAATAAAAGCGAGAGCGGTACCACGGTCGCGCAATGCCGGTGGAATGGTTCCGTCACGTACCATGAGGACGGAGGTGCGACGTGGTTAGTTGTCATTGACGTCGTGGTCGGCATCGTGCGATGCCACTGACGACCGCCACGAGTGGCAGGTCAACCGCGAAGTAAGTGGGTAAGCGCGGCGGAAATTTCTAAAACCACAATTAACATTACGCGTGACAACTCGAGACTGCCAAAAAGTGGGATTTCGAATCGCGCGAGTAATGTTTGAAAACAAGTTTTTGAAGCAGACGACAGGAAGACTCCCCCTTCGTCGAGCCGTTACGGACGGGACCCCAGGGGCTCCCCTCTTTTCCCTCCGCTCAGCGCGGCCGACGGGAAGACCCGACTTCCCTGGCCTCACACTAAGAAAAAAAAAAAGTTAAGTTTTGTTTTTTCCATAGTATTGATGACAGCCGACGGCCTCGAAACCTCCGCAAGATGTCACCCGTAAAGCTATCGGTTGAAGACGGTTTTTAGACGTGTTCTAAGCATATGCATATGAATGAAGCAAACAGGTTTCGAATGTGTTTGAGTGTCCGCATGTAATCCTGTCATGTCCGCAGGGACCATCTATTTTGTAATATGTACGAGGACGTTGACTTTGCGGTTTTCGTGTCCACGCTTGGGATGTAACGTCTATGGTGACGTCACACTGATGACGTCACGCTGTTCACAACGGTTGGTGCCTGACCGTGGTGCTGGAACGGCGACGAGTCCTGAGAGAGGAAACTTTCGGATATTAGTTTCTCTTTACGCGATACTGTAACATCACGTGGCATTGTGACGCCACGTGATACTGTCACGGTAGGTGACACCATGATTTGACTTGACACCGACCTCACGTAACGATGTCATGGTGGTACATGACGTTACGATTCACGTGACATCGTGTGACACTATGACTTGGCGTGTGGGGCCTTCCCTGATCGCGTGACGTGACGTGGGTTCGTAATCTACACGGCGGGACCAAGCAACACCACCTAGAAGAATGAAAGCCTCCGCATTGCTCCTCCCTCTTCATGACATGTCGTCACAGTCAAATCGCGCCGTGATACGGTGAGGTCAGATGACATGACGTCGCAGAGGACCTGCAATTTTTTTTTTAGAGCGCAGCTCTTAGGGGCCCGTTTCCGGCTTGAGCGGCGTCGGCTTCGGCGTCGCCGTCGGCGTAACCGCGTGGTCACGTGACCACCTTGAGGTCATGTGATCCCCCTGAGGGCGCGTGAACCCTTGAGGTCACGTGACCCCCTGACGTCACACGACTTTCCTGAGGTCACGTGACCTCAAGGAGTCGCCTATCCCTCAACACGCTTCCGTTTTCCTCCTCAAGAGATGCGCTCTAATCCGGCGTTACAGGGAATTAATTGTAAAGGGCTTTCATTTTTTTAAGTACTCGTAATTACTTTTTGGGTGCGCATATATCGCCCAATGCTTTCCCTTGTAATTTCGAGACGATTATTTTTTTACGCAATAAAGCGCGCGCAACAAGCGGCATCCACCAGAACCGGAAGCTCGAGTTTCTGTTTAAAGGGGTATTCACACGAGGGAGAAATCCCGGGGATTTCTCCCCGGCACGCGCATCCCGCGACGAAAACGTCAGGCTTTGCGATGTGCAAAAGCCTCGCGTTTTTATCTCGTGATGCGCGCACCGGGGAGAAATCCCCGAGATTTCTCCCGCGTGTCAATAGGCAACCTGCAATGCTGTTTGGTTTGGCGCCATCTAGTGACTGAAACAAGAAATATTGGGTACCCCTGGGAGTGGCGGCTGCATTGTTCAAACGTGAGCTATTACTCCGGTGGCGCCGCTTAGTCTAGTGTCTGAAGCATGAAATACTGGGTATCCCAGGAAGCCGTGATCGCGTAACGTGCGAGTAGAGCGGAGGCTACGGCCCTGGCGGGCCAATCGGAACGTGACTGCCTATCATCGGAGCGCGCCTCAACTCTGGAGAAGTACCGGGCTTTTCGCTGCGTCATGCTCCAATATGTGTGCGTTGCGCTCGTGTACGTCGCGCATTTCGAAGCCTTTGGCACGCAATGTGGGGCTTATCGTTTACCCTTTGCCAAGTTACAACGAGACAGGGTATAACCGTGCGCTCTCACGCTGCTGGCGCCGCCTGGCCGTTGCCGGTTGGCTATACCCCTAACCGAACACGAGAATCTAATCAAACTTTCCGATGAAAACCTCACCTGCTGTCTCTCAACCAGTGCCACAGACTGACACTGCGTTTTAGTTTTCAGTATATCACTCTAAAAAATGCCTGCGCGTCTACTTTCAAGCAAAACACTCGAAGAGCCAGTCTCTGCGATCTAGGAAATCAGCTCAGCGAATGATGAAACGCACCATCCGTTTAGACATAAAAGTGAAGTCTGCGTTGTGGCATCACGCAATCCAAAGCGTCATGCTTGCATTGCGTAATGCCACAAGCCAGACTTCATTTTGAGGTCTAAATGGATGTTCCGCCGCATCATTCGCTCAGCTGAATTCGTAGATCGCAGAGATTGGCTCTCCGAGTGTTTTGCGGGTTAGGAGACGTGAATTAATTTTTGAAAGAGTAACTGCGAGCCAAGAAGTTATGAGAGCGGGTGCTAAGAATCCAGGAGAATCCCCGCCTCCAGCATGCGTTCTTTGCCGTCTGATGGAGTTTGGCTGCGCCGTAAAATTCCCGCGTGGAGGCGGAACATATAAAAACATTGGGGTGTGTGAATGTTTATACAGCCTAGAACTTCGTCTCCCTCAACGGGCGACGAGTCTCCCAGCTGTACATGAGAAATTTATAGCCAGTGCAGTACAACCGCTAGCCAGGGGTCTTTAACGTGCACCACGCAGTAGGGATACACGACCGCACGCCGGTACGATGCTCATCCGGATCGAAACGGGCAGGGCGGGGGCAAGTAGGGGATTGGAACCCAGGATCCCTGGGTTCAGCAGCGCGAGCTAGGCGGAACATATAGACTTTTTCTTTAAAAAAAAAAAAAAAAAAAAAAAAAAAGCGCGTGGCCGGTGCCATTTTGAGTGTTCGTGTGCATGGCGCGTGCTTTCTTTGCTTTCCGAAGAAGCATGTGCTGGGCTGTGAAGATCGCACGCTGGACTGTGATTTTGTAAACATAGGAAAGGTCTATAGACATTTCCAATGTTTACGCGCCATACGCATACACACTCAAGATGGCACCGGCCACATGCTCTTTTTTTGTGTGTGGAAAGGTCTATACTGGATTCCTAACCTGCCACTTAATATAAAGGGCTTGCGATGTGCGCCCGCTCTTGAAGAGAAAGTGACGTTGAAGACAGCACGCTCTTGCTTGTAGCATTGACCTCACTCGCAGCAGATCCTTTCCGAAAGTTCGTCTACCCACCCTGCATGCAGAGCCAAATTCGACGTTTTAATGGGGGCATTACACAGCCTCTCCTTACGAGAAAGAAAGAAGGTTTTGAAAAGCATAGAGCAGAAAGGGGAAATGGTGTTGGCGCTTTTAAATAACCTTCGATTCACGCAATCGTGGAGGCTTGATTTAGCCGAGCGTAATCTCCTATCAGCACCATTAGACCGGCAATAATAGAGCTTTTGGGACTTTTGAAACTTTTGAAAAGGGTCTATTATGGCGAAACAAGGTTGGAAGACACAGCCTAGTCTGCGCGTTACCTCATCGTTACTGCATTTCAGACCTGTCCCAGGGTGGCGAGCGGATGAATCAGCGCCGTATCGTGAGGCGCTGCGGCGATTTCAGCGAGTGTAATGGCGTGGGCACAAAGCTGCACCCACTCTCGCTGATGAAGCCGCAGCGATCCGTAACACGGCGCTGACTGGCCCACCGGTCGACGCTCCCCTGGGAAAAAAAAAAAGAATAGCAGTCCTCTTTTGATTTACGGTACATTCACAGCGATAGCTGCGAAATGTTTTCGAACCCAAATGTACCCTTGCAGTTATGTATCACCTTTTACAATGGGGGAACCATCACCAATCTCTGCTCGGACAATGACATACTCATTTATTTTATTAGGGTTTTGTGATTGATCGATTAAGCTACCGGTTAATCGATTAATGCTTTAATTGCGACTATTTTTTTTGCCGGGTTCATTGGTAAACTTTTAACAAACAAAACAACAAAAAAGTTAAAATTCAACGCTTTTATTACTTATACGTGTACGAGTATACGCCTGTATAGGAAGGCAAACATTAGGTGAAACATGAGCCTAAAGTAAACTTTAGGGGCGAGATTTGTAGCTCCAGACGATTCCAGGAGGTTGCACGTCTCCCGGCCACTTCAACACCGTTTGAGTGTCCGTTTAGTGTCGTAGAGAAAATTGTGGACTATCAAGAGAAGTCGGTGCTGCCGGAGAATATCAATGAACCTCTTTGCCGTATACGGCTGAAGGAATAATATGTTAGTGCGTGTGTCTCTGAACTGTTCTCAACCACACATCGAGGTTGGTTCGATAACAAAGTTGTGTATTGCGCCGTTTGTCACATATTCAACAAAGGCATTTTTTTGTATTTTTATTTATTATGTATGGGAATGATTGAGACCGATTAATCGCTTAATTAACCGATTAGGGGGGGGGCGATTAATCGGGTTAAAAGTTTTAGTCAACGCCCAGCATTAATTTTTTTTTTTGCACGGAAATTTTTTTTTAGCGGACGCGGCGTGAGATTTGTGTGGCGTGATGCAACGTCACCGCAACTAGCGTCATCTAGCGGTCGCTGCGCGAGCCGCAAATGCGCATGCTGTCTGCAACAGATGCAGTTTGTTAGTCGACGCTTTGGAGCAGCCGCCGTGTTTTTACAGCGGAGCTGTTAATGGCTCGTTTCCCAGTTTCGTGTCCGCGTCGACAAATAAGTCTCGGCACAACCCTCTGGACAGCTGCCACCATCTATGAGCGACGGTGTCAACCAGACAACCGGCTTGCCGGTTGTCTGGTTTCCGTCGTTGCTCATAGATGGCGACACATAGTACAGCTCCGCTGCTCTTCCTACTCCACCAGAGTGGAAAGGCTGAAAGTTTATTCTGGTCGCGCTCATCCGCAATCAGTAAACCCGAAAGCGTAAATCCTAAAAAAGAAAAGAAAAGAAAAGAAAAAAAGAAAACGCGGTGGGTTTTGGGATTTTCTTGTTCATGTAATTTGGCGATATCATCAACGAACGCACCACATAATTTCTCGAGGGGGTGGGGGGGGGGGGGGGGGGGGGAGGGACGGTCGGACCTATTACAGCTGACGACGGTAGAAAGTTGGGCGAATTGATTCATAATGATCAAAAAGCGCGACAGGACAACGGACACGGGAGACGCAGACACAGCGCTTGTCGCTGTGTCTGTAAGCGCTGTGTCTTTGTCTCCTTCTGTGTCCGTTGTCCTGTCGCGCTTTTTAATCACCATTACAGCTATTGTTGTAAGATTGGGACGCTGTACGCAGACTAATCTGATGCATCCGGTCATAGCTGGATGTGTGTAATTTGGTAGATTTATCACCTGCTAATACATCAAACAAGATACACTCTGGAGACAGTGTCCGAAGCGTCCTTCTTCCTGGAGGGACGGGCCTGTAACACTGATCAGACAACACTGCCTACAGGAATGTTTGAAGCATAGATGGGAAGCAGACATACTTCGAACGTCATTCAAGGGGGGGCTGTAGATATTTTTGCCATCATTGTCTGCTGCCAACACCGTGTATTTTGTACAATCGTGACTGGCGGCTTTACGTCGATAGAAATGGTGAAACAAAACCGTATAGGTTGTACCGATCATGGTGAAGATGCCGACGAAAGTGCCGATGCTCCTGCCAGCGAGCATAGCCTCGTCGGCGGCTCCTCCGCTGCCCGTCTTCTTGCTCTTACGGCCTGCCCAAATGCCCACCGCTAGGATGACGAGGTAGAAGACGACGAGGGACACGACCCCCGGAATGTTGACGGCCATCGAGAGACTCCGTTTTTCTGCTGGGTTTTTGAAACTGCAGTCCCTGGACACAGGAATGCCCCCGGTCAACTAGTGAAGAAAGGTAAAAAAACACAGGCGAGCTGGTCAATGATATCCATAGTAACCCAGAGACGTAGGAAAAAAAAAAAAAAAAAAAAAAGGACAGTACAACGTCGCTTTTTAATTCGAAAAAAAAAAATCCCTTGAAAAGAACGAAAATTATATGCACTTATAGAACCCATATCCCACAATACCATACTTAGAGCCCATATAAAAAGAAAACGGAAAATGAGGTTGATTTATCGGCTGACTTTACAATTTTATGCGGTTCGAGGAAACCTCCTACTATCTTGTACATTGATGCCTCGTTAATATGGACACCTTCGTGCCCCAAATTTTATTTCATAATAAAATAGTAAAGTAAAATTAGTAAAGATAGGTGAACCAAAAAAAAATGATCTCCCGTCTGACAAGGAAAATATAGTACAAAACAATGGCCACACATCGTATTGACATGTGCGCTCTTCATTGGGAAAAATACATATGTTGTGTCTCTTTTTAATATATGTTACAACGAGAGATATTTTTTTTAATAGAAGTTTGTGAGTGCGCACTATACCAATATACTTTCGAAAGACCAATCATGGGCCTTCGTTTAATCAGCGTAACCAAGGAATAGGCCGAGCGCTATTATGCTTAAACAGCCTATGACCCAGTAACATATACCATAACTTCTTTCCATTCCTTGATTAGAAGTAATCGGTGCCAGAAGATGGAACGTTATCCCTAACTTTATCCAGTAAACAATTATTTGAATTGATTCTTTACGAGCGTACATTGACCGACACTAGAGTACCAAAGGATTGGGCAAAGTATTTAGAAAAAAAGCCATAAAACTCGAGTTTACAGAGTGTGGTTTTCAAGAAACCTTATTACGTCATGTCTATTTTTATCTCAAAACTCTAGACCTTGTAGAGTGCATCTGTCACAGGATCGCTGAAAATCAAAGGAAAACAAAAATATCCAATTCCTGTGAAAACAAATTTATATTTTGAAAGGGCCGCTGACTGCGCGATAAGTCCATTCCCCGGTGGACTCACTTAGGTAAGAGTGGAAAGTTGGAGACGTAGTTAGGGAAATAAACGTCCTTTACTAAAAGCACAAAAATCAACCCTACACTCAAAACACTGAAAACATATCACAGAGAGAAGGAAAAAAAACAAACATATTGTCCTAAATAACGCGAAGGCGCTGATGCAAAAGAAATAAGAATACAACAAAAATATGGACGTTTGCCCGATCCCCCTAAGGTCATCCTAATGATATTCCACACTGCATGGTGATAGTTAAGGGGAGAAAATGGGCTTAGAAGGGCGGGATGAATCGTATGTTTGTCTTTTTAGACTTAGGCCAGGTGGCGCAAGCTACCGCCCGTTACAAAGGGTGTAGCCATTAACGTCCATCCATCTATCCATCCGACGTACTCACACCAGCTTACATCTTTGAAAACACGCAAGTGTGAACAAAATATATCTAAAAGTACAATCAGGTTATGCTCGATCCCGATAGAAAAAAAGGAGGTAGATATAAAAAGAAAACAAATTACAAGTGAGAGGCGCGAACAGGGGCAACGTTACCGGATCGGCTAAGTTGACACAGAACGAACGGCTCTGAGTTGACAAGCTCCGAGAAAAAAGTGACGCGCTGCCATTCACTGCTGCGTAGCGGCGCTCATGTCGCAGCCCGCCCGACCCGTTCGGTCGGACTGGCCTCGGTACCCGTGAATTCGCTGTGTAACAGAATCGTTTTTGTGTGGGTTCACAATGCGTATTACGAACGGCTGTTGCCAGTGTGATAATGTCCGGATTGTGACATTTCCTGCGACTTTTGAGGTAAATTCAGGTTCGCCGGGCCTTCGTAGTTTTGGCAGTTTTCGACATTCGGGACCAAGGCAAGCAACTCGGAGAACTGGCTCCGTCTATCATTCGTGAGTTGCGGCACATGGGCCGTTGTGTTTTGATCGTTTGCGGGTTGAAGCACCGTGATCTCTTCTTTTCTGTTGTTCTGTGTTTGTGTCCGAAGTTCAAGCGTAAACTGCTACATACATTCCAAAGCCGCATTAGAAAAGAAAAGATGCCAATTTGAAGACGTCTTCGTCATTTGATCGAATTGGGCTGTTTTAGCATTTGTATTCGGCTACGTCGAGGCCTACTACTAGAACATCTGAGGTGGTGAAAACCCCCAAGTTGTTCCTCTCGTGTGTTCTTTACCCGTGTGACAACCCCGGTCCCTTGCGTGTGCGTGCACCATTTCGGAGACGTGATTAAGGGGTAAGAATTTCAAGACATCACTTCCGATCACGTGATGAGCGCGGATTCGTGCGTATATACCTTGCATCAGGCACGTAGCCAGGATTTTGTTTCGGGGGGGGGGGGGGGGGGGGGGGGGAGTTGTATAAGGGGGGGTGGGGAGTAAGGCCCCAGGAAAACGGTAGATTTCAGGGGGAGGGGGGGAGGGCGGCCTGGGCTCCATGGGCTCCCCCCCCCCCCCCCCCTGGCTAAGTGCCTGCCTTGCATACTTGGAGTTTTTCGTGTGAACGTGCGGTAGATATTAGAAGTGTTATTTTACACCACCTGCTACAGCTTCGCGGCAACAGTGTACGAATTGTGAGACTCTTGTTGGTGTCTGTGTGAAATTAGTTAATTTGTGTAAGCATATATACATGCTCATGTGCCCAACGCAGCAATATGCTTTTTTACGTTCTTATATGAGCGCGTTAATTTAAATTCGCTTTATGTTATCTGCTATTTTCTTAACGTGGCAGTTGTGCTCAAAATTAAATCACGATAACGTTGTTTTATGGATCTCGTGGTGCAATGCATTTCAAGCCAAAATAAATACATTTCTAGCTACCTCACTGAGTTCCTGAGAATGCGACATGGGATAGGAAGGCTAAGGTGTAAAGACCACTGTGAAAACTTAACTGCTTAACTGCTAAGGTTCTTTGTTGTAGCCCGAATGCAGTTCTACGCAAGAGACGCAAATCAAGATGGTAACGGAGAAGGTGGCCAGCAAGAAAGCCCGGCTCCTTGATCGTCAAATACAGGTATTTTTAGCCTTGGTGTTTTGCATTCTCGTCGCGATTTTGTCACGGAAAAAGAAATAAACGCTGCACAGTATTCATCTACAATTTCCTCCTTGTCGAAGATTTGTTGTGGCAACAAATAAAAGGTAGAAAACGCGTTGTGTTCGTTTTCCTTTGACGAGCGTTTATCGAGAACTGGATACGGCGCTGACACCGCACGTGAGCCCCTGTTTGTGGAAGCTGCCTATAGACGAATATAAGAAAAATCAACTATGGCATAAATCCTGTTTTACTTTAATATTACGCGAGCAGAAAATCGCACTCGGAAGCTCGACCCAAAGCTAGGCACATATACCCTCCTATCCATTGCATTACACCGACTAAAAATCGAAGAAATCGTAAGCGTGCATAATTACAATCGTGATTGCAGCAGAATCTACTTGCAGAGTCCGCAGGGGCCGCCGACGTGCCGCAGACCGCCTAATTTCGCTATGAAAAGCCATCGTCTCGAGTTTGCCCAGAGCTTGGCCGACCTTGCGGACCGGGCGTGCTTGGGCGTGCTGCGACGACAGCGCCACCACGCTCGCGCGAGCGGAGTGGACCGGCTTTCCGAAGCGCGGCTAATGTGGAGCTTGTCACCTGAGCCGATCTAGTAACTTTGAACATGGATCCAGGGAGGTTGGCCGGGGTCACACCGCCTCCTGCGTCTCCGGTTTGCGCCGGAAAGGTCGTGCATGCTTGGAGTGCATGAGTGAGTCGCCGCGATGCCCCAGTTGCGGCCCTCCGAGTTCTTCCTGTGCTACGAGAATCGACGATCGCTACCGCTGTGAACCCGAATAACAACACCTAAGCACCGCCCAGTGCCCGTAGCATGCACTCACCTATGGACGAGCCTTCTTCGCACACACTGCCTGCCCCGCCCAGCAAGAAAGAGCGCACCTGACCAGACCAACCAGACCTCGGCCCCTCGGCTGCCTCGTCGCCGTACAAGCGTCGGCACAAATTGCAGACGAGTTCGCTTCCTCTGCGAGCGTGAGAAGGGGTTGCGGGACAACCGTAATGCTTTCCCGCCACAGAACAAGACGAACAAATAAAAATATATTAAGTCAAAATATGTGATAGTATCCGAACGGCTAGGCTATTGGCGACTTGCCCAGCCAAAAGCGTCGCTGTGGTCGGCCTTCCAGGAGTGGCCAAACGCTCATTATCATGTCGTGTGTTGCGGCGTTTTTTGTTCTCTTTTTACATGGACATGACTTTCCTGAAATTTTGCCAAACACACTAACAACCACCGTTGAAATAGTATCCGATATATTATGTCAAAATAATGTTTTTTGCGAAGTTTGGAATTTACAATATTGGTCCTTCACCATGTTTGTAACACTAAAATTCTCGACTGGCAACAACGGGAAAGTTACGCCAGCTGCAGGCAGGAGTTCACTCTTTGGACTGTGGAATGTTATTCGCTCAACGGGTTCCAAGCAGTTTCATATTAAGAAATGAACGCCTTGGAAGCTCGCTCCAGCACCTGCGCGTCAGCACGAAACAAATGCTGGGCACGGTCCATTTTTTTACACTGCCTTCTCGACTGGCGAGCCTGCCTGCCGCCGACGTCACGGCGCTGAAAAGTTCGGATATATTCGAATGTTGGTTTCTGCATCGTTTTCACTCTCCGATTTCACAAAAACACCGAACATCACAATATCGAATAGCATACCGGAAAGGGTAAAGGCCGGAAACTCAGAAACTATAGTTAGGTGAAGTAGCTAAAAAAAAATGCCGGACTACTCCTTTGATGGAGGGTGTCAAACTGTCCACTTTGACGGTCTTAAGGACGCGATTATTACAAGCTATCACCCTACCTTTTGTGTACACACCGTCGAAATTGTCGTTGGCAGTCGATAAATCAAGGTCGTGACGTCACAGATGGGGACCATACAATGGAGCCACAAAAACATGGCGAGTTAAGACCCCTACGGATGCTCCACCTACAGCAAGCGTTCGTTGCCTTCCACTGCGGTCTGATCGCATGTTCGACGAAGTGTTATTATCAAAGACCAGATCGCTGACTCTCGAAGTGGAGCGTGATTGGTTGTGTAACTCGTCACATACTATACGTTTACCTGTGGTTGTCGATGTATTGGTGTTGCTTCCCACGACGAATTCACAGGTCTTCTCCGTTTTCGGTGAGTATAGGCATCGATCATTTGGAAAATACGCCTTGGGGGGCGGCCAGAGATACCATATCGCAAGACGGCGTCCGGGGTTGGTAGAGTTTTCTTGTTTTATCGCTAAGTAAACACGTGCAGCTTGTTTAGAGGACTGTAGGTGAGTAACGGAGATTATTTTTAGTATAGGAAAGGAGAACGCTTTAGGGTTATGAGATTGTCACGAATCTAGGTTTACGGTTTCGAAGACCGAACGAGCTTCTAGAGAATAAGCTAATCATGTCGTTTAAAACCTGTCTGTGATGCAGAAAAGAAAAAAAAAAAAAACTTTTAGTCGAAGGAACAGACACATGAAGGGAACGTGTAAACGTTTAGCACATGATGCGTTTTCTTCTGTATATGTTCCTTCGACTAACTGTTTGTCATCTTCTGTACCGCAGGCTCATGTATTGAACGAACCGATTAGCTGCCACCAGCTCGCCTACGCACTCACAGTCTTTTTCACAAAAAGTGCCATGCCTTAGCTCTCATGTCGAGCAGCCGACCTTGTCGTCCCTATATGCCTCTGCACTTGGCACACAAAGATGGGGCAACGCCACCTATAGGTGGCAAGTCCGTAGTGCTTGCTTTATGACGTCACCTAGCAGAGGCCAGGAGAGCGGAGCGCAAATTGGACACTTGTGCCGCGTCAGCGTTCGGATGGAACTCGCGTCCTTACTGATTGAACACGAGTGCCAGCCGAGAGCTGACGCCGTACTCTTGTCCAGCCTCTGTGCCCCGTGCCGGCCTCCGGTACGTGACGTCATGAAGCGAGCTGTGCGGCCTTTTTATGTAGGAGGTGCGGGGTCGAGGCAATCGTGCATCCGTTTCCTTTTCCGGGGGGTATCGATGGCCGATAATAGGGAATTCTAGTAGATCCTTCCCATGACTGCGATAGCGGTACCCGATAATCCGCTCGTCGCCTTTGCGCATGCATCGTATCGTTATCGGGTAACGTTATTGGAGGTATCGGAACGACCGAATTAAGCCTGATGCACATGGTACTATTTTACTTGCAATTTCGGTGCTAAAACATCCCTCATGCAAAAAAAAAAAAAAAGAAAGAAAGCGCGGTGGAATTTGGGGGGTCTAACGTCGCAATTGCGGAATCGCATCCATAAAGTCGCACCATGTGAATCAAACTTAAAATCCTCTATTGAAAATTAAAAAAAAAAATTGTATGGTGTCTGAATATGCTAACGCACCACAGCTCGGAGTACTTGGAACGAGAGCCTGCGCTGCAGAATCCAGGGAAGCCGAGTGATCCCTGCCCGTTTCAGGCTGGATGAGCCTCGCACAGGCGTGCAATCGTGTGTCACTACTGTGAGATACACCTTAAAGACTTCAGGCTAGCAGTCGTCCTGCACTGGCTAAAATTCACAACTACAGCGTAAACCAGTGTCGCAGTATCTCAAATGCAGACCGACCTTACGCTGCCTAAGCATGATGAATTTTTATTTTTTTGAAGCTTGAACTTTTTTTTTTAGAGCGCAGCTTTTAGGCGCTCGTTTCCGGCTTGAGCGGCGTCGGCGTCGTCGCTCTCCCCCCGAGGTCACGTGACCCCCCCTTCCCCCCCTCAGCGCCCTTCCCTCCTCCTCCTCAAGAGCTGCGCTCTAATTCGGCGTTACAGGGGGTTGTAAACGGCTTTCATTATTTTTACTGTAATTCCCGCCCCCAGATCCCAAAGGTTTGTCCGCCCCTCCGGCCGTCCGTGCATTTCCCGCTAACTTTAGCGGGGAAAATTTACGTCATGTCACCTGTACACCCTATAAGTTTGTCCTCTGAATTTGGTGGAAAAATTGACCTCCCGTGACCTAATACACCAGGTTGGTTTCCCCGGAAAATTCAGCGAGAAAATGTCACCACGTAACCTCTGCACCAAGTAAGTTTCCCCGCTAAAGTTAGTGGGAAAATTGAGCTTACGGACATATACACAGATATTTTTCCCTTGCTAACTTTGACGTGGAAATTGACGTCACGTGACGTATGCACTAAATAATTTTCCCCGCTAAATTGATAAAACATAGATACTTCTTGACTCTCCGAAACAACTGTATGATGTCTTCCAAACATACTTAAACAATAGCTGTAATTAATGCATGTAGATTATTTTCTGTATTAAAATGTCGTGAAGACAGGTGGCTATTTTTCTTTACCACAGTGTGCATCCCGCTAAAACCTCAAAGAGGTTGCAGTATCAAATAAATAAATAAATATTGAATAAATAGGACTCCGGAGATAAAGGTCGCTCCCAATAATTTTTTTTTCCGCTTCCTACAGGGTCAAACTCGGTCAGTTCTGGTTCCCGTCCACGGGCCCCCTACGACATGGCGACCATCCTTGTCCAGAAGACAAAGTCTGCCCTTTGTGAGAATCTCATCAGGAGATCCTCCACCATGTCCTCCCGCCCATCCATGCACCGAAAAATGATCAAAAAAAAAAAAAAAACACGAATTAAACGGCCCTAGCTAAGGTTCGCGCTGTCCCTGAAAGAGATTCGAACCGAGAGCTTCAATCTCAAACGGAGTGCAAGCACTCCTGGCTCAGCCGGATACAAGACGGATGATGTCAGAGAAGTGAATGTCTGAGCGCATACAAGTAGAGCCCGAATCGCCCTGCATCGGTGACTCCGACTCGCACATCAGAGTCTCACTCATTCCAGGCACAATACGTGGTCCCAATAATGCCCATAGGACATCTGTGAGACGTTACGACGTCCGCGGGACGTCTGCAGGACTTTGTATGTTGTTTAGGGGTAGTTCTTCGCTATTTCTAGCATAATGTGGACGTGTGCGCGTATTTCATCGCGTACAATAGGAGCTGCTACAGTCCTTCGCGCTTGTTTGGCGAACATTCCTGCCAATATTTTAAGGAGCATTGATCCAAACCATAGGTCTGAAACACATAGTTTCGGTCCCATTTTTTTATCTCCTTGACAAATCAAGAGATAATTTCAGCTTGCTGAGACCGCAAAGAAAAAGGTCTAATCGGATATTGCAGCGCATGTCGTCCGCGAGGTTGCATGTAAAGGTACCCTTGCGAGGACCGCTGAACCAATTCCTCCTAAAGTAGTATCTCGTTTGTCGCAGCCTAGAGGACAACGCAAACGCACACCCTCAGACTGAAAATGCAAGGTCACGGCGCAGTATCTGCGCTTGAATGGTTGAGCGGCCGGTGAAAGGAACACACACAGAAAGAAGACGAACGCCGTGACATTGCGCTTTTAACGTTGCTTGGTCGGTGTTATTTGCTCGAGCGTCGGCTACGCTCGGACTGAAAAGAAGTACGTACTATACTTCGTTACAGCTTCGGTCCGAGCGCAGCCAATGTTATGAGCCGAAGGGCCAATCAAACAGCGAAAGAGGCACAACGTCATGGCGTGCTCTCTGCAGTTGATAAGACCAGCCGGTATTCGCCGTCTCTCTGTGCGCGCTCCTCCGCCGGCTAGTCCTATCGAGCGCCGAGTGCACGCCATGACGGTGCGCTTTTTGGGCTGTTTGATTGGCCCTTCGGCTCATAACATCGGCCGCGCTCGGACCGAAGCTGAAACGAAGTATACATGCCAATCACGGTGTTCCAGCGTCATGTTCAACGGTAATTCTGGCCTCGTCGTTTTTGCCTCTGGACGGTATTCTTACGTGTCACTGTCTGGGCGTCTTTTTATCATTGGCCTGGCTATGCTGTCGCCTCCGATCGTCTTGGTCCACTTTGACGGACACTTCACCGTTCAACTGGCAGCGCCGCGACACTTCCCAGTTCAGTATCACATGACGGCTTGCGAGTGACGGTGGCGGGCCTACAAAAGCACCAGCACTCATCGAAGCTACTTTAGTACGGCTCCAAATCTTGGATACGTTCGTCAGATCATGTTACTTACCAGGTTGGTTCGTTATCGTTTTTCAATGTCTTGGCAAGACAGCAGTCTTCGTGTCATTGCGGTATCGTGCCCTCCTAACATCTACACATGTTTGATTTTTACCTGGTGTAATATTTCGAGCTCGGGCAGTGAGTCTGCTTATGTCTGGGGACGTTGAAACAAACCCTGGCCCGAATACCCCAGTTTTTGAAAGACACCATTTCCTTCAACTGAAAACTTGACTTCTTGGCCAACCATTCGACGTGTCAAAACATTATTTCAGAGTGAGATAAAATCGCCACAAAAAGCCAACAAAAACGAAACATAAAAAATATTTGCGGACTCAAGTCCCCCCAAGAAAAACTTTATTTCTGCTACCTAGCGCTCTTGACTTCAGAGAGTGTCTAGTCACGTGGGTTTTGAATCATAGTGAGGCTCTGGCTGGGACTGCACCCATTCATTTCATCAAGATATAGAAACGTAACACGATTTAAATTAGAAAACGAACACCTTTATTATCTCTTTAGGAGTGCAGAGTTGTCCTTATCATTACGAGGTTCGCTATACCGGCCACTTTTAATTTAGATCTTGTGGTCTTGATGGCCTTCCTTGTCAGTGATTGCATCCCGGTCTCACCTATGCGTGATTTACGTATTATTACGACCGACGATTTGTAACAGAACTTAAAAGGCGGGAAATAAAAGCGTAACTTTGCGCTTGTCTTTCTGGATGGCGCATGTCGTTGCATGTGTCACCTTTGGTCGATAAATCTCTAAATCAAAGCCACAGTCACCAGCCATTGTTTCCTGCATACCTCGTCTTTTACTGATAGAAGGGGTGACCTTATTGGCGTAAAAAAATGCTCATAAGGTAATGTTCTCAAGTTACACGTGAAAGTAACGCTCGATTTTGTATACTACAATGTAGCCGACAGCATTGCCGCGCGTATCGACTGTTTTGAGACTCAGTGTTACGTCGCTACCTAACGTTCTTTTTGATTGTAATTCGAGTTGCCGATTCATCGTAGGAAGCAACGGTGCAAAAGGACAAGAACATACCTGGGAGAGCACATGAAAGCAATGTGCGTCGCTGCCTGTAATACATGTTTTACAAAAATACATGTTTTCAATTAGTCAGTCTCTGCCTGTTGTGTTCTTGTGCTTTGGCGCGTTTTCGTCCCATAAGCAATCTTGAAAACCTCCAGTTTTACAATGCGACGACAGGGGCGTATAGTTTTATTTGTTGCTCCTGGACGAACTGGACATACTTTTTTGTTTTGTTTTTGGAACCACCACTGGGAAACCGAATGTTGGGACAACACACCGTCTGTGCGTGCGGAACGGGTTGAAATGTTTCTTGGGCGAGAGAAACATCGTCGTTGCACAATCGTCGCGCCCGATCTTGTAGCCTCCTCTACTCTAACAAAGATGGCGAGATCGCACGAGAAACAGTCAGTTCGGTCAACAGCTTTTAGGTGACTAGGTCGTAGGGCTGAACTTCCGACGTCATCTTAAGAGACCATCGCAGGGCGCAGATTTGACACGAGTACCTTGTCGACGTTCGGCTCGCACTCGTGTCCTCGCTAATTGAACACGAGTCCCGGCCGAAAGCTGACGCACCACTCGTACCCAATCCGAGGCCCAAGTTTGCCTCTTCAGGTGACGCGAAATATTCAGCCCTACGGACTTGTTATCTAGCAGGTGTTGGTTTGGTTGAACAGTGTAGAGGGCTTTTTACTCCAGCTTACGGCGCTCGTGTATATAATTTCCCAAAATATCTGTTGACTCACCTTTCTAGAACTTGCTGTAAAATAATGGTCACGTGACGTGTGACGAGCCCTCCGTCACGTAATCACATTGCTGACCCTGGTTTTCTTATTAGCCTTCTTTTCTTCTTCACCTCCTGGGCCTTGGGGTAGGAGGGCTCAGAATGTCTCTAAGTTGTTTGACAGTCAATGAAGTTCAGCGAATTCGTCAGCCGCCGCGGAGATTTCCTCTCTACGTTTTTGCCGGATCGATTTCTCGGTAAATCTCGCCACATCTTTCTTAGAACAGAGGAGCCTGAATAGTTGTTCGCAATGAAGGCCGCTCCACATAGTGCTGTGTTTTGCAGAAGTGTATGTGTACGACGCGTTACGGACACCATCTTTATCACCATCACCACTGGCGTTGAAAAAGATATGTGGTCGGTGACGGCTGTGCTGCGTCTCACTCGCATTTTCTTCCAAACATCGCAGCATGTGAAACGGTCTTCACCACGTGAATCGCCGATACCCGACGCCCACTTCCACCACCACACCACGAAAGGTTCAGGGCTGAGCGTATGCCATCTCTAAAAAAACAACCTGGGGCATCACCCGACGATTCACCGTCTGCAATTTCTCTACAGTTCCTAGAGAATTCGTGGACAGTTCTCTGGAATCACATATGGCTGAGCCTGGGCGGCTTGCGCGCCGGCGCGCCGCTCTCGGCGTCGTCGGCGAAGCTCGCGACGCTGCTTCGCCGGTCGTTGTAGACCTGTAGCCTCAGGCTTTGTCTTGCTGAGGAGTCTTCCTCTGCGGGAGCAGTCTCGTACGCGTCGTTGGTGTAGCCTTCGGCAACGGACGGCGCGAAAACCCTGTCTGCAGGGAGGTTGTTGTTTCGGTGACGTGGTCGGACTCCAGGAGGTCCCGCTGCGCCGCCGGCGGCTGCCGCGGCGACGCCCGCCGTGTACTGGTTCTTGGCGCCTAGGGTCTGCATCTTGCTGTGGTTGGCCAGGACGGTGTTGCGCCGGACTTCGAGGGCTCGTAGGGTGTCTCGGTTCCGGCTGAAGCGACGTAGACCGCTGAGCACAGGTGTTCCTGAAATAGAAGAGGAACGACGACGTTCGCATGAGCAAAGGATGAGGCTTCGAAACAGACACAGGTAAGATGCATGGGTAAGAGACTTTCATAAGTGCACTCCTTGGACACGTTTAGCAGAAGTCGCGTATCGGTGGTTTTAAAGGTCTAGTGGTGCGGCGAATGCAAAACTTTGCCGCGAAGTGCGTGGGTTTGGGCTTGCTTGCTCAGTTAACTTCACCAGAGAATAGATATTTGATACAATCCCTTTGGTTGGCGGTAGCTAATGTCTAAAATATCCAAGAGGGTACTCGGTCGTACTTTTGAAACGACTTGGAATGCCCAAGGAAACTACAGAGCTACTTGCAAGGAGCTTAATTTAAATCTCTTCCCCCGGAAAAAAGGTCTTTATGACAACTTTGTTGAAAGAAATTACTCCTGATTTTTGTAATCTCGGTTAAGAAATCTGGCTTCATACATACAAGCAAGTCCTCTAACTGCATCGTGCTTCAGACTCAAAATCATTGTTATTTTTTTTGTTAAAAATCGCACATTCGTTACTTGTTAAATCTGTTCTCACTGATATAAATAACTCTTGCGCAGTACTCAAAGTATCGCAAAAATGCTGAAACAAGTATAATTTCTGAAGTGTTCAGGTATGTTTGAGAAATTATACTTAACTACTGCCTCTACTTCGACACCTACATTTCAAGTTCACACGCGTTAATTTCGTCACAATCATTCGCGTATAGACACTGACGACTTAAGAAACGTAGGTTGTGCGAATTTCCGAACATCTTATTATAACTCTGCAGTTAATTACATTACTAATTATCTGATAAGAACACCAAAGAACGAATCACAAAGTAAGAAGCGCGGAGATAATAGGCCATGCATTGTGCTTCTTAAGCTGGTGGTGACCACAGTAATTCCAGTCAGTTTAACATTATGTTCGAATACACATTATTAAAAATATATTCTATTTGTTTCCGCTATAGCGGTCAGTTGTAAAAGACGTGTGTGCACGCGACCGAAGCAAGCTACGACGCCCAGATGTACGAGTCTAGAAAATCTTGAATTATGAGATCATTATCCGCAAATTCTCAAGCTAGCTTTCACTTTTCGCGGCGTCGTTTTGCTTGGACTTTTAGACGGTCTTTCGCGAGCCCTGAACTGACCTTCGGTGTCCACCGCGTTGATGTTCATGAACCGCTTCCTGAAGGCCACGTCTAGCGTGCCCGTCCTGGCCCTCTGGTGCCGACGCTTCTCCAGGTTCTGAATGGTCTTCCGGCGCGCCAGTCGTTCGGGTCCCAGGTACTCGTCCGAGTTGTCGTCGTCCTCGTCGATGCCCTTGAGCCTCTGGAGCTGCCTGGCGATCTGGATGGCGTTCCGATCGATGAAGGCGTCGTCGCTGACGTCCTCCACCTTCTGGTTGCAGCAGGAAAGTTCGATGGAGGCCAGGATGTGGGACAGGGTCTCGAAGCGGTGGAATAGCATCCCTGTGAACTGGATGATCATGATGACGGCGAAGAAGATCACGAAGATCAGACCGATGGGTTCCAATTGGAGGTGCTCTTTTTCGATGACCACCTGCGAAGATGCAAATCATCATCATCAACATCAACATCAACGTAATTTTTTTATTGAGGGCCCGAAAGAGTACTATACTAAGAAATGCAGAGTAAAGGTGACTTGAGTGAAAAAGAGTTCTTCGTAACATAAAAGGGGAGGCCTCTCGTTTGCGTCTCGTGCAACTTTAATCAACCTCGTGTCAGGTATGAACAATCTACCTTCAAGATGAAGCCCATATTGCCTTTTGCGTATTCTATTCCTTATTGTATTGTCTATTCCAGTTTATTGGTGAAGGTTATCAAGCAAGTCCAAGTCGCTCGGTAGTCATCGTGTCGCAGTTCTCTTCCTCGCCTTACTGAATATCACATCATGAAACACCGTTTCAGCCCCATATGCCTGAGTATGGCGTATAGGATGATTGCCCTAAACTGAGTTATACTAGCCTCTAATAAAGCTGAGACGTCCTATACCTGGAAAGCGAATGGTTGATGTGGTACTAAAATATTGATTTCGCGTTAAAGATCGCTAGAAAGTCATCTCGATTTCAAACCTGGCTTGTGTCCGGTATGAACGTGATGTTGGTCTTAACACCCAGCGGCCAGTTGACGTGGAGCTGCTTTTTGTTGAGTTGAAGCAGGAAAACGATCAGAATGAAGAGGGCGTTCAGCATGAAGAAGGCGAACACCACTCGGTTTCGAAGCTCCTTGAGGTCCGCGGCGATTCTGGCCTGTTCCTCTTTGTTTTCGTCGATGGGGTAGAGGTACTTTTCGATCATGTCCTTCCAGAACTGGATCTCTGGACCTGGCAGGTACTCGACTTCACCGCGCTTCAGCTCTTTATCTTCTATCCAGTACGGGTTGATCAGGTCGTCTCGTTCTTGTCGTGGCTCTGCGATACACAAAAACAGAGCTCATAACAAAGTTCCAATAGGGTACAACAAAGTTTTATGAATGAATCGTCAATAATGAGTACCTAAGAAGGACCACTTAGAAACTATTTGTATGGAAGGTTTCTTATTTTTTTCGCTGGAATTCCGTGGCACAAAAATACAGCTCGAGTAACGTGTTTCGTTGTTCACTCTCATGTGTAATCCGGCACTCAATTTGAAACCGAAAATAGCACTAAAATACTGTAGTAGATTACAAGGTTGCCCGTATTGTTTCTCGAAGTTCGACTCGAGATAAGTGCCATTATTTGATATCTCTGAGATCTGGAATCTCCGCGAATTTTCGCTTTAGTTACTTTTTTGTGTGGTAGCTGCTGCCAATGAACCCTGGAAACCAAACCACATTAATTTTAAACAAAATGTCGCCTCTTTACAAAGTTGCCTTTAGCACGTTGCCATATATATATTTGTTTCCATCAGTAGAGGAAAAAAAGGGAAAGCCATTTACAACTCCCTGTAACGCCGAATTAGAGCGCAGCTCTTGAGGAGGAGGGAAGGGTACGGGGGGGGGGGTCAACTGACCGGAGGGGGGTCACGTGACCTTGGAGTCGCGTGACAATGACAGTGCCAATGATGTCATCAGTGACGTCACTGATGAGTTTATCAGTGACGATGACAATGCGGATACCGATGACGTCACCAGTGATGATGACGATGACGATGCGGTTGCCGGTGACGTCATCAGTGACGTCATAAGTGATGATGACGATGACGTCGCGGATGCCGGTGACGACATCAGTGACGTCACTGATGACGTCATCAGTGATGATGACGATGACGATGCGGATGTCGGTGACGTCATCAGTGACGTCACTGATGACGTCATCAGTGATGATGACGATGACAATGCGGATGCGGGTGATGTCATAGTGCTGATGACGACAATGCGGATGCCGGTGACGTCATCGGGGGGTCATATGACCTTGGGGATGTCACGTGACCTCAGGGTAGTAACGTGACTTCGGGGGGTCACGTGACCTCGGGGAGGGGGTCACGTGACCTTGGGAGGGGTCACGTGACCTTGTGGTGACCTTGGGGTCACCTGACCTTGGGGTTACGTGACCTTGGGGTGACCTTGGTTACGCCGACGGCGACGGCGACGCCGCTCAAGCCGGAAACGGGCGCCTAAGAGCTGCGCTCTAATAAATCGGTTACAAGTTGCTTTATTAAACGCGTCAGGAGGTTAGGAACCGCGTTACTACTATCATTTAATCGAGCAAATAACTTTTTTAAAATAATTTATACCTTAGGGATTTGCAGAATAACCCTTTACATTGATTTATCGTTTTTCCCTTTAAGGAAATAAAATAAAATGCGTGTATATATTGAAATAGGAACACTTTTTGTCATAGTTACAGAACAGATCTTCATAATCACGCAAATATGTCTGTAGTGTATGAGAATAAGCCTGTCATCTTTCTGATTTATTTGTAACCGCACTATCATATCGATGTCTAATGGATAAGTTTGTTCATAAGGAAATTTCACTCAAAGTAATGGGAAGGTTTTCAAACCAGATATATTATAGATCATTGACATAGTTTTCGTCAAAGCATAACACGGTATACTGAGCAACCTAAGACGCTAACCTGAGCAGTGGCGGTGTCAGCTTCGACTCACATTCCAGTCACTTAGCTTTCATCAACACAGCAAAGTGGAAATTAAAGGAGCCCATGGACGTTTCATTACATTAAGCTCGAGGGTGAGAAAGTTTGAAAGCAGCTGTATTGTCAAAATTTACCTGAAGACTATCGAGCGGAAAATCAGTCGTATCCTTACATATTTCTTTAACTAGACCCCATCTCACGTTAATGTGAACTACCGCAAGGTTACACGCGCGAGGCAGACCGTAGCTTAGTCTGGTGCTTCCGGTGCATTAGCTTTCGTGCTGCTGAGGTGTGATGGAGAACGAAGAGCTCGCTCTTGTATACCCTTCGCCGGAGTTCATGTTACAGCAAGGAAAACATGATATAAACCGAATTCGTACTCACCAAGCTGTTCACTGAGCGATCCACAGGTGTCACTACCGTATTCGTTGTCATCTTCAATCGCATCCTCGTTGAGCACCGACAGGCCTCCCTCCGACTGCCTGGAACTTCTGCCGTGAAGAGTCGACTTCCTCCTTGGTGGTGGTAGGCCGTGGACAACCTCCAGCTGCCTTTCCATGCTGCTGATTTTCTTGCTCAGCTGGTCCAGCTGGTCGCTGATCCTGACCAGGTGAACCTTCTCTTCCCTGTTGGTCGGGTTCGAGCAGATCATGCAGCTGAAGAGACCTGGAAGTCCGAACAGGCTTTCGTCTTCGCTCTTGCCGAGGTCCAGGAGGCCTCGAAGACCCGTCTTGTTCTTTTTCTTAGCCAGTTCCTCCTCCTCTTTGCGTTCTTCTTCGATTTCCTTCTTGGACTTCTTTGTCTGAGTCTCGCGTGTGCCCCACGTGACGACGTTGAGGTTGATCAGGGAGTAGAGGATCAGAAGGAGGTACATGGACGGTACGCTGAGGAAGTAGAGTAATCCCGGGATGATGCACATGAATTCTTGCGGATGCATCACGGCCGCTATAAAGAAGCTGCCAGAGAGTGAGATGAGGAAAATGGCCGAAGGCGACCCGACGCCGTCCTCAGAGATCTGGATGGCTGTTCCCACAAGCACGGCCATCATGAGTAACGCGTATGATGCGCTCATGATTTGGGCCACGATGATCTGCGGCAGGAACATGATCGAAATTAGATGGTGGGGGAGGTTTACCTGCATTGTGTTATGAAATTTATTTAGCGGGTAACAAAAAGAAATTAAAAATTACCAATTGTTATTTGGTAATGTAAATATAATTCCAGATTTTATACTAATTTTAACTTAGTTTTTTTCAGTGGTTATCAATTGCCTGTAAGCGAACCTTTTTAATGTTTACCAGTTGTCTGCGTAATTTATTTGCCTTCGTGGGTTCAACACCAAGGTTTTTTAGCACTTACCAGCATTCATTTACAAATTCTGTGGGAAGACGATTAGGGAACTTGCATTTGCTAACTTTAGTGGCATTGTTTAAAATTGAAAGTAGTTCTTTATAGCATGATGGGACAAAAATATTAGCTAGGAATACAGAAACCACAAGAAAAATCCTACAAACGCTCCTGTGTCTGTGTTCTCTGAAGTGGCATGATTTTAAATACCAAATATTTTTTATTCACATTGGTCTAACACCTGATTATTTTCTATGAATTATGCGATTTTGTTATTTATAAAAGTAGTAATTAGTTAACCTCACCTGGATGTCGTTCTTGGTGGTGAAGCAGATCACCATGAAGAGGAGGATGGGTACGATGTTGTACGAGAAGGAGATCCAGTTGGAGATCTTGAACGCGGCCACCATGGCACCAACCAACATGAGGAAGATCGTGCCTGGACCCAAGATTGTGCCCACCATCAACATGCCCTGGTAGATTATGTACGGGAACGAGATGTTGTCGTTGATGGCCACGGTGCGCTTGTAGTCTCCCAGCAGGTCCATGATGTTGGCCATGGTGGACGGGGCCCAACGACGACGCTGAGTGAAGAACTCTCCGAAGCCTTCGGGACAGTGAGTGTAGGCGTCTGAGGCAGCGCTGTACTCCACACGATAGCCTCGCTGGAGTAACAGGGTGCAGAGCCAACGGTCCTCTCCTGTGGGTGAGCATTGGATCAGAGTAAATATGCGGCGCGGGAATCTTTTATTCTCACAGTTTGTAGCGGCATCATAAGGATGCTGCTATCATGCATGCGTTGAGTACTTTACATGTGTAGCAATGAATGTGTAGCGAAAGCTCTTAGAAATTTAAGATGTAACCTTGAGCCAGTTGTGTGATTCATGGTAGGAATCAGCGTCACAAAAGGAGGAGACAATGGGGAGACACACTAAAAATGACTGAAAGATCAAGCTGGGTTTGATACGTTGATGTCCTGTTCCCATTTTGTGTGTGTGCTCCGTGTCTGTCTTCAACGGGAAACGTTCTTTGGCTAGTTTCTCCAGATTTTGTGAAGCCGAATTTAGTTAAGCCGTAGCCTGTGACGTCACAGACGTTATGCGACGTAATGGGACGTCACAGACCTACACACCAATAGGCCGAACTCAACAGGAGTTGCGCGACGCCACTGCTGCCGCAGTGCACTCTAGTACCTAAAGTTCTCCCCCGTTTTCCGGCCACGTGAATGCGTGTTTTACGCCCGGTGTTTCGACATTTTCGGGTTAGTATGGTCCCTAGAATTTTCCTGTTCTTAAACATTGAACTAGATGCTCACTTATTTCCAAGTTCACCCAGACATCCGAGCAGCAGGGGTGCTCGAGTCGTGGCGTCGTTTCTCTCACGGCCGCACGCGACCACCGCGTGAACGCAGGGAGTTTACGCGTTCACGAAGACGATGAAGTGGTCGACGGCGAAGCAGACAACGAAGCAATTCTAAAGCGATAAGACAACTGCAACTGCTTTTATGCGCTTGGAGACAAACTAAGGCATTATACACGACACAATCTTTTGAAGTACAGACATGGCGGGAAAGTCCAAACCGACACCAGGGCATTCAAACCCATGATGTACGATGAAGTACGCGTACCGCAGCCCTATGCAGCCGGGAAGCTGGAGAGCGATGCCTACAAGTAGCATGGCGACGGCAACACTTCCGGAATCCGCGCGCCTGCGCAGTTCGCTTGGTGAAATCGATGTGGTATTCAGTTTCTTCGCTAAATTCAGCGGGAAGGTTTAGAAATTTGTATAGGTCTGTAATGTGCTATAATTATGGTGCCTGGAACGCGTCTCCAACTGGTGTGTTTACCGCGGCCAAAAAAGTGGTCCCTCGATTTCCGCCTGATGATGTCATACAAGTGTCATGCTGTCGCCGGTTGCGATCCTGGCGACGTCCTAATAGTTGTGGTGTATATGGCATACGCCTGTTCTGCTGCAGGTTGCTCTCCACTGTGACAGTCCACGGAAGCTAATAAAGCAGCTGGAAGTTCGGACGCCTGGGACGCTGTGACGACAGCGACACTCGCGTTCGCTCGTGCTTTTCGCCAGCATTTCTACGACCAATCGCCAGGATCGCGACAGTCAACAGCATCACACTCCGGCTCCTGTGACGTCATTTGTTGCCACTTCGCGACCACTTATGATGTATGGGCGGGATAGGACGCTAAACACACCAGTCGAAGACGCGATCCAGGCACCACACTATAATGCAACGCGCGCAGTGTTGCATTATGGGACGTCCCAGACCTCAAAAACAATTCAGTTTCTTCTCTAAATTTAGCGGGTAAGTTGAATTGGTGTCACGTGGCAATGTCACGTGACATTAATTTTCTCACTAAATTTAGCGGGACAATTAACGTCTAGTGACCTGCACACCAATTTAGTGAAAAGACGGTGAGAGTGCAGGCGAGCTGGTGGTAGCTAATCATGTCGTATTACACCTGAGACTGCGGTGGAAGAAATCGGAAGAACTTTCAGTAGAAGGACACAGAGAACGCCTTTTGAGACGTTCTCTGTGTCTGTTCCTTCTACTGAAAGTTCTTCCGATTTCTTCCACCGCAGTCTCAGGTGTAATACGACATGATTAGACACCAATTTAGTTCGCCGATTTAACGGGGAAATTGACGTCATGGGACCTCATGTCACGTGACCTACACGGCAGTTGTTTCTCCTCTAGACTTGTCAGGAAAATTACGGTCACGTGACCCACAAACCAATTCAGTATCTCCGCTAAATTTAGCGGGGAAATTGACGTCACATGACCTGATGGCATGTGATGCCAGAACGTTTCACGTATGCAACACAATTGACCACCAATTTTCCATACAATTTTAAGTATAAGTGTGCTCTAAAATGTTTGTCTCTTTTGTGTGTCTCCGTTGCCTCTTAGCAGGACGGTGGGCAAAGTATAGATGTCTTATAATTGTCTTCAGCTTGGACCACAGACAATGGCATCAACGTTGGTTATAACGCGAACGTCAGCATACGTTTGTGAAGCTACAATCTTATTAGTAGCCAATGTCTTTCGGAAAAGAAAAGCAGAACATCATTTCTCTTTCTTGCTTACCTTGATCGTACTGGACGTAGTGCAGAGCCTCATCGGAGCGTGTGGTGTACCTCCTCATGACGTTGTCGTCCATGAGTGCCTTGGCCCGGAAGAGCGAGAAGCAGCCGGGGCTACAAAGCACGCAGCCGATCATGTGTTCCGTGGCTTTCTGCAGCCAATGGCCGATGGCGTACTCGAACTTTTGGTACCACACCATCGGACCTGGGAAATTCCGGGACATGACTTTTGTCATTCGTGCATCAGTGTTGATGATACTTCAGGTTTGCAATGTGTCAGTAAAGGTTGCTAAACACTGTGGTCATTCTTGTGATGAACTAGCTAAGAAGAATAGCAGCTCTATGACTGAACGAAAATCAGCGTTCTTAGTTTGAGTCGCAGGAGGTTGTTTTCCATAAGGTTACAAACAGTGCCTAACTCCGTGCGGAAATGTGGCTACTTTTGTTCCTTTGTGGCTCCAATACGTTGCACAAAAAGCTGTTCAATTAGTCATGTTATTGTTATTTAGAATATCAAGGTATCCATCTTTTCGTGCATAGTTATACCCTTTATTTTACTCCCTGTGGTCTGCAATAATGAGCTCGCCGTTTTCGGCAGTAGGAAATCTTCCCTGGTTTTCAAAACACGCTGCCTATTTTTATTTCAGCAGGGCGCATATATGGTGCCCATTTCTTCGGTTGTTAAATCAACACGTTTTAAAGCAAGCGAAGCAAGGGGGTCGTCGGTGGCCGAGCGTGTTAGTGCACCGCTGCTTGGCGCACGTGGAGCGAAAGCTCGCGCTGCAGAACTCGGGGATTTTGAGTTCTACCCCCACCTCTGTCCGTTTCAATCTGTATGAGCACCATACCGGCGTTGCGATCGTGTATCACTACTGCGTGGTGCTCGGTAAAAACCCCAGGCTAGTGGCTGCACCGCACTGGCTAAATCTCTCACCTACAGCTGAGCCACAAGGGCCGGCTTGCTAGAAACAGCGTCTCAGCTGAGACTGGGAGAAAAATGCACTGCCAAAGCCAGCGCACAAACTGAGAGGGACTCAAACCGCGTCTCAAGACGCGGTTTGAGCTTTTGCAGCCTTTGCAGTGTTTTCTTTCACCCAGTCTGGGATGAGACACTGTTCTAGCTAGATGGCCCTGAGGCCCATTGAGGCTGACTTACTTCCGGCTGGATGAGCACGAGAAGCTCACACACAACACAATTATTATGAATAAAAGGTTAGAAGTGCGAAAAAACCGGGGAAAATAATGATACGCACAAGAGAGGTCAGCCACATCACTCTGAACTGGTTTTAATAGCAGCATCGTCACCTGTTGTGTGTGTATCTTGCTTGTTCCAGTTTTGCTCGCGCTTTTAACCTTTTATTAACGATAAACCAACTAGCCCAAACTCATGCTTAAGTACAGGGTGTCACAAAAGAAAATTTACACGTTTTTTTTTTTTTACCGCAAAAATAAACTAGGCATCGCCGAACGCTCATTCTCCGCCCAAAGGTAGAGCTAGAGGTCACAACCAGATGCCAAAGTTTCAGCCCGATCCCATAACTTAATCAAAAGTTATAAGTGGTTTTCTGAAAATTTCAATGGGAAAATGGCGGCCGACGGAGTTTTCAAACACATGGGGCTCTATGGCGCCAGAAACCGAAAACAGGCAAAAATGGGCTCCACTTTCCCATTGAACTTTTCAGAAAATCACTTATAACTTTTGATTAAGTTATCGGATCGGGCTGAAACTTTGGCATCTAGTTGTGACCTCTAGCTCTAACTTTGGGCGGAGAATGAGCGTTCGGCGATGCCTAGTTTATTTTTGCGGTAAAAAAGACCGTGTAAATTTTCTTTTGTGACACCCTGTATAATTATTTGTATACCTGAAGATCTTCATTACAGCCTCCCATGACCTTTTAAGGTTAATCCTCCTAAAAACGTTTCTTAAAGGAGGTATTCACACGAGGGAAAAATCCCGAGAATTTCTCCCCGGCGCGCGCGCAACACGAGATGAAAACGCGAGGCTTTTGCACATCGCAAAGCCTGACGCTTTCGTCGCGGGATGCGCGTGCCGTGGAGAAGTCCCCGGGATTTCTCCCTCGTGTGAACACCCCTTACAGTGCTCACCAAACTTATACAAAGCACGCGGACTATGTGTTTTCTTATATGAGAATGCTATCCTGAAGGCAGCTGAACAACGGTTTGTTGAAGTGGTATTCTAGGATATTCCATAGGGTGCTACGTCACTGAGCCGTCGTATGGCGGCTGCCAGGAGAACGCCCCCATGATAAAGGACAGAGTTTCTTATCATAATCTGAACCCTCAGACAGGAAGAAACAAAATAACAGACAAAACGGCACAATATTTGTCCCGAAAAAAAAAAAAAAAAAAAAACGCCTTAGGGTTTTGACGTCATGCTGCCGCGGTGGCACTGCTGTCGGCACGGCGCATGCGCGGAAGCTTCACGCAAATCTGATTTTGGCGCCAGCCAATCATAGCCGCCGGATTTCTCACCGACGTTTTCGCCAAATGTCCAGTTAGGGAAGTTTGGGCCCCAGGTGGGGGCCGATGCCGGCTCGCTCGTGAAGAGCGCGTCGTTCTATAAGTACGGTGATGACTGTGCCTTACCCGTTCCAACAGGATGAATCCTTCCGCAAGCAGCGCCGAGACCCCTGTTCTTCTTCATCAAGTCCACCAGAAGCTGCACGGCGTGAGGCCTGAAGTTGATGTCTCCGTCTAGGGCCAGGATGAAGGTGTTCTCGGCCATGACGGCCTTGCGGCTGACGTCGACGGGCAGTTCCATCAGCTTGTGTCCGAGGAGGTAGTACATGTACATGACCTGGGACCAACGCTTCCTGTGCCTGATCTTGCTCTTGTCCTTCAGGTGAGCGATCAGCTTGTTCTTGCCGGGCATCTGCCACACGAGGCGGCCACCGTACGGAGTCGGGAGCTTCTTGGGAGGCTTGAGGCGGATGTTGCACTGGTGGACGTTGCTGCAATTCGAGTAGTCGGCGTCGGTCTATAACTTTGCAGAGTGAATCGTATCTAATTCGGTAATTTGATCTTACTCTCAACATAGTCTCGACAGCATCAGCAATGCATATTTTATTTGGCTCAAGATAACGTGCACAAATCACTCTTGCCAGCAACCTTAAATTGCCTAATTGATTAGTATATCCACACTCTACTGAATTAAACTTACTACGAGTTAGTATTTGGTGAGATTACTCGTTGGGATCGAATACAAAATCAAAGTGGTCATGTGGATTTTGAGACAGCGAGATGCGATTCGGTTTTGTTGCAAAGGGAAAATATGTAGCAAGTGTAGCACGCGGCTGCTAATCTAGAGCTTTTTAGCGTGCATGGTACGGTGGTCACTATATTCTGTTTTACACAAGCCCGAGCGCAGTCGACGCTGCAATTCGGTGGAGCTACTCAGACAGTGCCAAAAGTGCCGTGTCACGGCGCACGTCGACTTTGAGCGTTGGCAATCACCGGCTACAAACCAATCGCGCAGCGAGAATGCGGCGTGATTCTGCATATTTTTATTCGTGATCGTTTGAGCCGGTCACAGCACACTTTTGGCGCTGCACGATGGCAAGACCGCTGTCCTTGTTGAAACCGAGAATGGGGGATTTGAACTCGTGATATAATATAATAATATAACGATCTTACTTCATGCGTAATCCAACTCGGAGCGGGTAGTCCGAAAAATTGTTCATTTCATTCCCTATACAAACTCGGTAATTGTGAAGTCTTTGACCCTTAGTTCGAAGACCTGTATTGATATCAATGCGTCGCGAGTTTGAACGGGTTTTGGGCGTGATCTGTTGTCCCTTACCTGGCGGCGGTGTCGATGACTCGCACCATCTGCTTCACGAATCGGTTGACGACCATCTCCTCGTCGTTGTCGTCGCTCAGCTCGAACGCGTCGTCGAAGAACACGTGTACTGCGACACGAGACGCGTAGAAAAAGTTTAGGTGAGCGGTCACTTTTGAATGGTCACCCATTGTCTCTGTACTTCAAACCTAGGTTTCCTTTGGAAGGGTCTTTTTGCCGCTTTGAAGGCGTTTCAATGAAATGTTCGTACTTCCCAAAATTTCATGGAGAATATTTCTTCTCGAGATAGGCCACACAAAAACAAGTGGCATTCGCCAAGCCAAAAACCAATATGCCTGCTAAGGACACACACACACACACACCTGATGTGGCGATTTAGTCGAACTTTGCGATTAAAACGTTACTTCGTTCTTCTGTTTTCCTTTTTTCTATCTTTCAATCTCTCAGTATTATCGATATAGTTGTTTCCCCCCAATAACGTGCGCTTGGAGAGGGAGAAGTCCAAATTTCTGGCGTCCATGTCCCCGTTCTTTGAGGCCACCGGTGTTGTGTCGGATGTATTTACTGTAAAAGCCATTTTAGGCGCACGAGAACGTGGTCAGTATTTTATAAAATATCTATACAACATTTTTTTTTATATGAGCATAAATATAAGTTTTGAAGGACATTGCAGTGTACCTGTAATACACGTGGTTTGTTCTCCAAACTATCAAAGATACTGGACCAATTGAGCAAAATTTCTACTCATTCCAATGAAGATATTTTTCTTCCAAAAACGTATTCGTTTCACACAATAGGACCAGAAACATCAGTGATTTAAAGTTGAATTCGGACATACCTTCGAACTCGTAGTAGTCAGGGTCGACGATCCGTAGGTATTTCTGGGCATTCCGCCTGGCACTTTGATCTTCGTCCATCCTGAACACAAGACAAAGCAGAACTTATGTTAGCTGTCGGCTTTCCCAGTTCTGCACACTTGTATCTTCCGCATATACGTTTATAAGTTGGTTGAATATTTATTTATGTAGACACTACTTAGAATTTTGTAATGATTTTTTTTTGACTAAACTGTATTTAGAAGTATTGTGTGATTGGATTAGACATTTTACGGAACAGGTAACTAAATATTATAATGAGTTAATAAGTAAACAAGTTTAACGGCATTTCATTTTCGGGCGGCTTTATTTTCAGAAAGCGTATTATAGATTTAAAGGAAAAGTGTTCACTAAAAGTACAGGGGTTTAAAAAAAAAAAGATACCAGGCATGAAAAGCAAGAAAAGTACTGTGACATTGCTGTGCGAAGTGATGACCAGGGCATTTTAAACCCACGATATTATGGCCCTTGTCATGGCGACAAGGTTCCGCTGACTCTGATGGCGTTTGTCACTTCTGATTAGGTCCTGATCATACTTATCCGCTGATGCTGTGATTTCATGGAGAATTCAGTGACAATGGGAGGGCGAGACCGTCATGCCGTGACCGTTTGAAACTTTGAAAAACATTAGTGACAACATGTGTGTATACCCGTTTTCACCTCAGGAACCGTAGTGAACAAGTCCAGCCATCGCGTAGCATTACTAATTTCCCCATTTATGTGAATAATTAAGGTATATAAAGGTAGTTTTTAGATTTAATGTTTGTTATCTTATCAAGAAATACAACTTCCAAACGCCAAAATCATTGCTTTTTCCTTCGATAACCAAATCTCTTGAGAACTACTTCGCGCCGTGCAGGAACAACGCGCAAAAATTGTTTCAGTTCTTGAAATCAAGACGGGTATAATTGCGCTGTAATTGAAACGCGCTTAACAAAATTGAAGTTTAATTACAAGTATAAAAAGTAGTTTCGCTAACTCTGCAGAGACTAGATGTACGAAAGGGGCTTTCAATAGCGCTTAAATAAACGTGAGCTTCATGTATATATACGTATATTTTAAAGTAAGTTCAAGATTGTGGTTGATAGACCAGCATATCCATCATTTCGATTATCTTGTCGCCATCTGTCGAATTTCGCTCATTAATGCACTTGTATTTCAAGTGTACCATTTCTAAACATCCTATGCCTCACAATAATCCCTTGGTTTTTTTTATGGTCGTGTTTGTTTGTGTGCGTGGGCGTGCGGGCGTGCATGTGTGTGGTTGTGTGCCTGTGCTTGTGCGTGTGTGTAGGCGCGTGTGCGCTTGTTCATGTGTGTGTGTGTGCGTGTATACGCCTGGGCGTCTCAAGGCGACCCACGTTACCTGATGACGGACTTGAGCATCTGTATCATCTCTTCCGTAGTCTCGTGCCACATTGTGGCGCACGCGTAGATGCGGATGATGTGGTCCGTGGTCTTGGCGCACGAAGCCGTCCGACCGTTCTGGTTTCCCGACGATTCCGTCTGGATCGAGATGGTCTCGTAGTACTGGGAGATGTCGTTGTCGTCGTGCGTGTCCAGAGCCAGCTCCTGTGCCACGCCGAAAAGTCGAATCAGGGGTACGCCATATTAAGCCGCGCTGTAAGTCAAGGCGGACATTTTCTTTCCCGGTGATCCACTTCAAACACCACTGTGATCGAAGCCTTAATGCTCAGTAAGGTCCCAAGGATCTTATTGAGCATACAAGTACGTTTAATATTCGTAAAATAGGCCATAGCACCTTTAAATGCCCGTTCACAAACTTGCATCTGCTTGCAACCGAGTTCTTGCGATCTCTTACGTCGAGAGAACACACCGGTACGCTGGCGCCATCTATCAGGTGACCCTGTCACTGCATTTCACTAAATCGAAGGTTTTGAAGTATTTTCGAGATATGTAACTATACTCTATGGCAGTGGTTCTCAGCCATTGATGTTTCACGGACCCCTTGTGGAGGGGCACAGATGATGGAGGACCCCGTTCGTGGTGTGAGGAAGGGAAGTACAGGTCAATTATGATAGTGATTCAATAAACGGCTATAACTAAGGGCTAGTGTGAGGTAAACTACACTTATTGACATATGCACGAGAAAACGCACCCCAAAATTAGAAAGTGTCTTCTCAAACTGAGAAAAGACGACTTTTATTTCCGGGCTTGACTGATGAGGCTGGGCTTCGCGGACCCCTAGAATGCCTTCGCGGTCCCCAAAGGGTCCACGGACCTCCATTTGAGAACCACTGTTCTATGGTAAACGGCCAAAAAAATTAAGAACGATGCGGCAAGAAAGTAGGAAATATACGGCGATATACGAAACTAAGGTGTTCTAGAGGGGGTGACGTGTAAATCGAAGGCCGAGGCTTGGTCATGGTGCGCGCCATGATCCCCCAATGCGGCCCAATGCTTTCCCCCAACGCGGCTGCCCGCGTTGGGGGAAAGCCAGCTCGCAGAGCAAAACGGCGCTCCTGGCAGTTCGATGTATCGGTAGCGGCTGCTATTTTTGTTCGATGCAACCGTAGTTTTTGCTGTATATTATCACTGTAGCATTACTGTGTACGAAAATTGTTCGATATAAGGGATAATGCTATGTAAACGGGTTCGATATAGTCGGGTTTGACTGTATTTAGAAAGGTCGAATAATTCTATATTGTCGAATAATTCGATATTGTTGAATACTTAAATTCGATTCGAAGCGAATTCCGAATAGAACAGTATTCGATTGGCTATTCGTAATAACCGAATATTAGCCCATCCCTAATGATTTCGCCGGACATATAGACAGAAATATATGATGTATGGGGGCATTTAGGAAGAAATATATGATGTATGGGGACACCTAGGAGGAAATATGTGAAGTATGGGTTTACATAGAGAGATGTATATGATGTATGGGGACACTTTGACAAACATATGGCGTATGGGGACACTTAGGGAGAAATATATAATGTATGGAGAACATAGGGTGAAATATATGATGTTAGGAACACATAAGGAGAAATATTTGACGTATGGGGACACACAAGGAGAAATATAAGATCTGTGGAGACACCTAGGGAGAAATATATGATGTGTGGGAACACACAGGGGGAAATATATGATGTATCCGGACATATTGTCACGAATGAAGGTGACGAGAAGGCGAACAGTGAACTGAAGGATAAAGGTTCAATTGGCGAACATGTGCCAAACAAAAATTAAAAAAACGAAAGAGCGTCGAGGCAGCAGAAAAGCGGGCGGCGATTCGGCGGCACTACAGAGCGCTAGCGAGACTGACTCGACAAGGTCGCGGGCAGCTGCTTATCTACCGTGCGTCACTATCTCGAAAGTTCGGCAAAGAAAGTTCGAGCGTCGCGCGCTCGGGGCGAGGATGAACTGGCACTTTTGAGAACAAGAAAGCAGGAGGAAAGTTACGTCTGGTGCGAGAATGAACGCGAATCCTCTAGAAGTCCGTGACCGAGCGTTTCTTTATCGACCCTGCGGGCGGCAATATAGAGAGAAATATATGATGTATGGGGGGCATTTAGGAAGAAATATATGATGTATGGGGACACCTAGGGAGAAATATATGAAGTATGGGTTCAGATAGGGAGAGATATATGATGTATGGGGCACTTTGATAAATATATGGTGTATTGGGGCACTTAGGGAGAAATATATGATGTATGGGGAACTTGGGGAGAAATATATGATCCATGGGGTCACATAGAAAAAAGTATATAATGTATGGGGACACTTAGACAGAAATATATGGTGTATGGGGCACATAGGGAGAAATATATGATGTATGACGACACTTAAAAGAAAATATCAGGTTCTTACATCGCTCTTAATTTCGCCTTCGTCGTCCCTTCGCCGGTTCATGGCAATCGACTGGTCGATCAGCGCAGCGCAGTACATCGGATTCACGAAGAGTCTGGAAGGAAGATGCGAACATATGTCTTGCGCAACAACATCTGAGCGTCAATGTCCTAACTTCAGTTGTTCTGAAGACCCCTATTGATGACAAACGAGTCGAATATGTCTTGAAACGAACAAAATTAGTGCGGGGTAACTTTGCGGTCTGCCTTGCGAAAACGATCGTATTTTATTTATTGTGCACCTTTTTTAATATCTTCCCTAATATAAGCGCAAACAAATTCATGAGCGTAGTCTGCCATGTCAATGATCCCCAAACAACGGGCCGCAGATGAGCTGATGCTGCCCCTGAGGGGTACTTAGAGCAAACATCGATTGTTTAGGAGATATCTACCGTGTTATAAAAGAAGTTACACTATGGGAGGTAGAGTCTGTCCAAAGATTACTTAATGACTGACTGTAGTATATTACTAGATGTGGTGGGATAGAAGACACTGCATAGTTAAACTAACTCAATATTTCTACGAGCACCTTAAAACTCCCAGTCGACAAAATATCTGACCTTGTGACCTCGAGTTAATTTTGAATTACTCGCTAGGTGTTACTGAAAAGAAGCCCATAGAGACAGAATGGCAGCTGCTGTATATGTGACTGTGAGCGTATTCTGGTGCTCGTAAAATGCATTGAATCTGGTTGGAAGGTATAGAATCGTATTTATTTGAAAGTAGGTCGACTTTTTTTTTTTGTGAACAGACCCGTGTGTCTACTTTCCCGCAGATCCCATAAAGACAAACAATTAAGACTTACGAAAGGAGCCGGCAAAGGGCGAAACATAGATAAGTTTTGGAATAAGAAGAAATGCGATCCACACACATCTAATTCTTATGTTCCGATGTTAGCGGCGCCTCTTCATTAGAGAGTTTTTAGTAGATCGTTCTTTCGCCCTGATAACGATTCCTCCTTTCCCCTCCAGTGGCCTTACGCATGCATAGTTTTGTTGTCAGATCTCGTTATCGGAGCGAAAAAAATGATCTGATAAAACTCTCTATTCATCGGGCCTCTTCCGTAAATCGTGATAATTGGCTCTTTAGCGTTGCTGAAAAATACACGCGCGGATGTTATTCTAAAGCAGGTCGAACTATTTTCGAATAAATACGGTAGTGAGCCAGCTTTAATTGACCTAGCCCTTCTCGACTATCACCCTAACCGGGCTGTGGACGGGTTGTGCCAACACCACCTAGAATAATGAAATCCCTTGAACAGCCTGCTGTAGCTCTACGTAACGTCGTCCCACTTAAATGCCGCCAACTCAGTAATTTGCCCCGAGCCCCACGCCGAGCTTCTTTCGACACGCTGATTGTACACGAGGGGCAGCCGAACGCTGACTCAGCGCTCGCGTCCAATCTGTGTCTGCTCTCGCTCTCACTGCGATGACGTCGAAATGCTAATGCACGGTATTTTAAGATTCTAGGGGGCGTCGACTGCGTGCGCACTTTACTAAGTAAGCTTCCTCTCATCCCGAAACTGGATCTTAAAAATGCAGTTGGACTCTGCACAATGCTTATTATGAGTGTGTTCTCTTACGTTATTTGTGTTTTCTTGGCTTGGGCTTACGCGTGGTGCATGCTCTGGCACGTGTCGTAAAACGTATACGGAGACCAGTAAACTAAAGTAATGAAGTTTGGGAACAATCGGTGCGTACTGTGTCTCAGAGTAATCGTTTGCCAGAGAACAGCAAAGCCTGATAATAGTAGTGATGCTCTATGATACCATGGTTAATTACATTCTAGAATGCATTATAGACGAACAGAGAGGGGTGCACGGACGCGGTAGGAAAGGGTACTAGTTTCGTGAAACGTAACGTCCCTGTTATTACTTTATATCACCTTTTTAGGTTTGTAAGTTAAATTTTGCGATCTGCTCTCAAATAGGCTTATTCCAAAACTCGAAGCGCCTCGTCGCGGCTAATGCCACGTTATGCATTCTGTAATTCAGTGGGCAGCGAAATCCACACGCGCTCGGCTGCTTGCCCACAGGTTCCCAGAATGCAACACGCGCTGACGGATTTGTGAAAGTTGTCTATTAACTCTCCGGGTTTACGCAAATCTGTGCTTTTTCTTTTCTACGCGAGGATCCGATGATGCGAACGATGTTCTCTAAAATGCTAATAGCTAGCTTCTTCAATTGGAACGAATGGCAAAATGTATTCGAAACCTTACTTTTCCGTCGAAGCAAGCCTCTCGCATTTGGGCATCCAGATGTGGACAGCTATCCACGTTTGCGACAACAGCCAAGCGAGCCATATCCAAGCGTGCTGCGTCGTGATGAACTCCTGGAAAAACTCTCCGGCGGGGCACCTCCAGAACAGATACTTGGGCATGTAGTTCTCGAAGAAGCACACGTCCTCAGTCCGAATTCCACATGCGGCGATGAGCAGCGAAATGGTCACGGGAATGGTGAGGCTGATCGGAAAAGCAAAGCTGAATCCTTGGATGCATATCTTGCAGGCGAACTTGGCAGACACGTAGCACAAAAGACTCGACAAGACCTGAATGGCAGCCACGAAGATAGGAGTCCATTCGCTGGCCACGATAGACACGTCATCATCCAGAGGACTAGCCGTGGGCAAGTCTGGAAGGTCTCCCAGAGTTTGCTTGCGGATCTGGATGACATCGATCTTGTGGGTCCGGAAGCCGCCGGCAAAGTTGCGGAAGACGGTGAGCACGTTGTCCAGGGTTAGTGTCATAAAGCCGAGCATGCAGCAGAAGATGACCAGAATCTTCCAGCAGGAGATGAAGATGTAGGTAAAGTACCTGCTTTTTCGCAGGTCATCCTTCATCTCGCCAAGCCTGGCGATGAACCTCAGGGGAGACCTCCTCTCGACGTAGTTCTCCCACCATTGAAACGAGGTGAGGAAGACCGCGACTGGTACCGCCCACGCTCTTGAACCGCTCACGACCCAGGGCCAGATGAAGAAGCCCGTGGCCTGGGCTAGAAGACTGAGGGCGTCCAGGATAAACTTGAGGGCGCGCTTGTTCTCGCCTTTGTAGTGGGATAGCATGCTAAAGAAGCCCGGTACGAAGCAGACGCAGTTGGTTAGCATGGCGCCCTTGACTACGTCCAAGTCCGGCAAGACTACGAATACAAGCATGGAGAGTCCTATCGTGTGAAGAGTTTCCATGATGAACACCTGCGTGGGTGGATAGACAATAGAGATTGTAGAGGAGTGAATACAATCATTTTTACTACCTATTACGTTCAAATTACCAGGAGGAGCCCATATCTTTATTTGTTTTGTTAAGAGGCTGCTGTTAAGAGGAAGCGATTTTAACTCAGTCACAATTTACGTCAGGTCGTAGGTGCAGCCAATAAGTACGCTGAAAAAAAGGTGCTACTACTTACCGTGAAGAACGTGCTCTTGTCTGGACAACGATAGGACTTGAAGACACATATCCTGGAACTCCTGAACAGTGTAAACAGCTCTGGTATGATCAAGATGAAGAAGAGGACCCAGAGCCACGCTATCTTTTCGATGTCATTTATGCTTGCTTCGTGTTCTTTGTCCCGTTCCACAGCTGCAAGAGAACATAATTTAGCGTCAGGTGTAGCAGGTACATTGCGGGGGGAATACGATTTCCGTTTTCATGGTGACCATTTAAAAAAAAATGGGCTGAGAACTATTAAAGTATCCAAATGCGCCATTAAAAATGGCCAACGAATAGTAACTATGCTGACGGATTTTTTTCTAATCGTAGATATTTGGAGAAGAAACAAACTCCGGGGTTAATGATACAAGTAAAAGATATAAAAACAGCTCGTGCCTCCCTTTTTGTTTTGCTAATTATGTGTAGACATTTTTTTTAACTTTTTCCTGTAACAATTTCTTTTTTGCAACCTCATGGTTGCGTGCCACCGAGTATTACTACGTTTTTTTTTCTTCTCGTCCGCTTGAAGATTTTTTCTATACTACACCGCCCTAGCAGCGCCCATAGCACTCCTATGTCCTACGAGGAAAGATGCGATTAGTGGCAATCGCCGACTGCATTTTACGTTAATATCCTGGCAGTAGAAACATCACAAGCTTCTCACCTTTTGTGACCAATAGGACTTACATCATCATAAGTCAATCTACGAAATTCGCTAGCGTCGACAGTCTCGCATGAATGCAAACAACCAATTTTACGGTCAACGGAAAAGCCTTAATGAATTACGGGGTTGACTAAAGTAGAAGTTTGGGCTAGTTGGTTGGTATTTCATGATTACAAACAGCGCCCTGCTCGTCTATCTTCTTGTTCTTTTCCGTGTCTTTGCGCTGTTTTAATTTTGAATTGTAGGGCCCCAGAATGTATGTCCCTCAAAACGACACCTTCCATTCGGGCATGTTAAACATCATTCTTAGTAGCGCGAACCAGATTTTGAGGTCAAAATATTTCGTCGACTTCATCCCGTGTCAGTCATCCTACAGATCAGGGTGATTTGCTCTCCGTTCGTTTTTTGATTAAGAAGATACAGGCCATTTTTAGTGGAAATCAGAATGATCCGATCACTGAACAAATACGAGCATCATTTGTCATGTCCTGTTTTTAGTGCAGCCTGCATGTGCAATAAATAATATGCAGCTCGTACGGGTGTTTCGCTCTCTCTCTCTCCTAATGAATGGTGAAAGCTGTGTTCTTCGAATTGGCTATTGAGCGTATGATGCGTGATTGAGCTCTTCTCTGGTGTGAGCTGATATTGACCTGGTAGCCAGTCCGTTTATCGCGTTTCAAGAAACACGCATGCCTCCGTTCTTTCAAGCTAAACATAGCAGTCAAACCCGTTTATAACGAACACAGGAAACGCCACGATTAGTTCGATATAGCGAGTAGCTTGATATAGCAAAAACCATTGTCAGCGAACTTCCACCATGCGTTCGTTATAAGGCGAGAGTTTCTCCTTCTTTCTCATCTCTTCGCTTCCACCTTGTAACAAGGCGCCGAAAAGTTGTTCTTTTCTTTTCTTTCTTTGCATGCTTGCAGAGTTTGTTGTTTTAGCTTATCTCCCCTCCTGAATCACTTCTCTTCGTGGGCAACTGTTTTGGGATGAAGTTGTTTTTTCTGTGAGTGCGTGTAGTGTTTTTTTTTTTTTTTTTTAGCTTTCTCCCCTTCTGAATCGCTTCTCTTTGTCAATTCTGTTCGCGGCTTGAGCTTTCTAAAAGTTTCTTTCTTTCCGACTTTTTTCTTTTTTTTTTTTGGGGGGGGGGGGGGGGGGGACAGGTTAGAAGACTATTGTTTGCGCGTTTTTAGAAACCTTCCCGGGAAGAAATAATTCGATATAGCCAATATGTTGTTCGTTATGAAAAGTACTGTTTATATGCATTTTTATCTCAATTTTCCGTGAGTTCGATATCGACAATAATTCGCTTTACACGGGTTCGTTCTAAACGGGTTTCACAGTATACCAACTCTCTTAAGGACGCCTTAACAGTGGCACTGCCGTCGGCCCGGCCTGGGTGCGGACGCTTCATCTCACGAGTGTCTGGTTTCTGGTCATACGCAGTGTCCTGGTGTGGGCGAGCGCGGACTTGGCGAACAGCGCGTTGGTGGATACCGAACATCACCACGACGCCACAAAACCGAACGGTCACTCACCCAGTCCATTTCGACAGACCGGCACCGTTCTCTTGGCTATGTGCGACGTGATGAAGAGAAGCGTCCCCTTGGAGATGACCGCCGAGACGAGGACGAGGGCAAAGGTGACCAGGTAGGCGCCGACCTTGATGATCTTGAGCGTGATGTCCACCCATTTCGAGTTGACGGTCTCGTCATCCTCGGTGTTGGGGGTCACCACGAAGATGTCCCAGCCCTTGTTGTCCTGGCTGTTGCGCCGACTGCGGGGAACGGGCACCAGGGCACAGGGACAGGTCATTCGTCTATCACTAGCTATGGTCGCACCAGGCGCCGCCCTACTGAACGGACACAGCAGTATTCATTCATCCATCGGTGCACATCAATCTTCACTGGTCAGTGGCGTCAACAACCATTCAAAATCCCAGGACGACGCTGTCTCTAAACTCGGTATGTCACGCCCAGAAACTATTCGTACCAACAAGTTCATGCTTGCCTAATTTAATCAATCTGAAAAAGGCATTAGGAGGGTTCTGAAACAATTTGTCTAAAACAATCTAGCTAGGTGGAATTTTCCACCGCTTCATTTGACACTTTAGAAAGTAACTTGTCCTCTCGTTCCGCAACATACAGCGCCAAAATCGCATAAAAGTTTAGTATATAAAAATTATAACTTTACGGAGAACTTCAGTCGTATTGTTTGCTTCCTCATATTGTGGATTTGCGATGTCCTTAATCATTTGCAAAGATATTGCTTCGTTTGCCAAGGTCCTTGTAGTCTGTCTGCTTCGTGCTTTCATTTTTCCGGTTTAAGTTTGACATGTTGGGAGCGTTCAACTACGCAGCTTTCAATGAATAGGACTCGTTCACTGGCATTGCGTGATTAATCATGTGGATATTACGTCTTGTGGACATGTGTTTCACTCGACCTCTATCTTAGGACACAGTGCACAACCAAGTAACATCGTGTTCCGTAATGGGAACAATGACAGTTTAACTACTTCTGTATTTATACTGTTGATTTAACACGGTAATTACTACAAATGGCAAGCAACAGAACTAATACCCCCTGTTTCAGGGGTGATTAATAAGTCTTTAGAACGAACTGCTTTGAAGTATCGGCGAATCAGATGGCGCTCTCGGTTCTGTGAGTGCAATTCGGCGTGCGGTGGCTCGCCGATTCTTCGAAGAAGTTTGTTGTGGAGGTCTTTGAATTGCCCATTAAACATAACTTTAGGAACAACAACAATGAAAAAAATATCCCCCAAAAAATGACACCATAAAAAAATAATGCAATCAGACAGCGGCCAGGAGAGAAACGCGGTATCAGCGTTGTTGGTGCCGCATGGATACCAAAAAAACACTGTTCTTAATATTTCTACAATGATAAGGTTCGAAAAACTCTTTGAGCGTTCAAAGGTTCCACTTCTAGCTGTGGAAACTATATTAATTATTACCGTGGCTCGTCCACTTATTAATACATCTGTCACACAACCTAGAGGCATCGCTTGGTAACATGTCTTGCAACCGGGTTCAGACAACACAAAAACATATTTGGACAAACAAAAATACAGAGCAACCTTCTTTGTGTGCGTTCATGTATCTAGTCGAGACGCTGTACAGCTGTACGCTGTACGCTGTACATTGTACAGGAATTGCTGAGATCACGGATCTAATGTCAAATTTGGGGCATGGGTGTTTAGGTTGTGGGAGTTGGTCTCATAAGTCGACACCGAACTTCTAAATAAAACAAATTTAAGTAGATAGGCCATGCATGACACAAAATGAACTTTCCCCGAGACAAAAGATTGTCGCATTATTTACAAATTGAATAAGGAGCGATTGGAAATATGTTTCTATTTTAAACGTCGACGTAAAAATTGAAGCATGTTCTGAAATCGCTCAAATGTGTCTAGCGGCATAAATATTGCAATAAATTGAATAATTTCTTTTCAAGAAATGTTATTTTGTGACATAAGTGTTCTATTCAAACGCCTGACATTTTTTTCTAGGGGTCAGTGTCTTTTCAACTTAACGTCTAGTGTATTCCATTGTAGATTGTAACTTCGACCAGTTCCGTATACAAGTGCGAACTTTGTGTTCCCCTTGGGCAGCCCTGTGGTCGCACAAGCGCACGAAAACGCACTCGAATTTCCAGCTCCTCCCTTTGTCGTCCTTTAGCCGAGGGGTGTCTTTGTCTCTGAGCGTGCAAACTGGGGCGCGCTTTAAATACTGCTGGCAGTGTGCTGGATGCGACGCGCCTCTTCGGTCTCGTTTCGAGAACGTCAACCTCCTTTGTCTCGCGGCAGGCGCACGCTGCTGCCGGCTCCAGCAGAAACGACGCGAAGGGACCCACTCTTCCGGGTGGAGACAGGTCCGTTGACAGGTCGCTCTTTGTGATGCCCGACGAACGGCGTGCGGCCGAAGCGATTGTAACTGAGATGTTGCAGGAGGCGCGTGCGATCACAGTTTAAGATGTTGCTCTATCTTTGTTGTGTGTGTGTGTTTGTGTTGTGTGACTGTGTGTGTGTATGTTGTAAATTATTTTCTCGGACAAAGTCTATTATTCGAGAAACACTGGAGACAGTTCTGTAACCTCTGTAGTTAACGTGCTGTGCGATTTTCAGAAGAATTGGGATGATAGTATTTTTACGCCTAGGCAATTTCGCTTTCCCTCCAAAAGGTGCTTTAAATTGCAAATATAACCAGAACAAAATGCGTGCATCGTCATCTCCTTCATCACTCGTCACTTCATCACTGCAACAGTCACTCGACCGTGGCGATAGCGTCGAATGATTGCTGTAGAACGCTTCTCCGATTGCAGAGAAAGTGGGTTGGCGCATGCTTTTGCTTTAAAAGCTGCAGGCTGCCTGTGCGTGTTTGATGGAATGGCACCGAGCTATATTTTGCTTTCCTTCGTCTCCCCGTGTTTCATTGAACGCATCACTGTATATGGAGTAATACGACAAACGCTGGTCGTCAACTTCAGACTTGAAATCTACTTCAGTTACCCTTTTGGGCCGCATTCCTAGAGGAAACCAATACCTTCCGTAAAAGTTGCCTGCTACGATTCTTTTTAGCTCCAAATCAGGCCACAGTACCGTCATACCGTACACCCGCCCTTCTACTCATCGGTCATTAGACATCATATCGAGAAGGGGACTTCGAGGCGTTTGAACATCCACGGAACAAAACGTTTGACCCGTTTGAAGCTGGAGGCGGAGCTGGGGCTACGTCTTGTTTCCACCAATCAAGAGTCGGGCTGACTGCACGCGATAAAGTCCAAACCCGCGTGTCTAGAATTCGGAGGCTTAATAAGTCGGTTGACAAACGGATTCAAGCGGGTCGTTGGTTTCGTATCGCATCGGAGACTGCATATCGCCCGTCGCATTTACTCCAAGTATACTTAAAACTCAACACAACGCCGACTTTTCATCGACAGAACCCCGTGCACCCATTTTCCCCGCAGAGCATATGCAGGGTCAATCCCCGCGTTGCACAGAAAGGAGACCAGCGAGAGAGTTGGCACGGCCTGACATCTGAACTCGAAGAGCGACCTACGCAGGTCATTTAGCGCATGGGGTGACGACGTGCCCGGACTACTTCGGCCGATCGCAGTTTTTGGGGTCCAAACGTGATCGTTGCCTTCTTCTTTCACGGCCCATCTCTCGAACGGTGCAATGAGTGACTTTCTGCGCGCTAGGCGGGGAGGGACGCGCAAGAGCTTTTGCGAATAGCATCAGGACAGCAAACAGGAGGTGCCTCGGTCGGCTGGTATAGTTAGCGCGGCTGGTGGTTATTGAGGGCAACAATGGGAAGTAAATTCCACCGAACGATTGGAAGCGAGCGCTGCGTCACAGTTTGGCTGGACATTCGGACGTTCGAGTTCGAAGATCGGGTCAGACCACTGATCTCTATTTTAGTAGGCTGGATCGCGGATCGGGAGCCCGCCGGTGTCGCCACCGGCGGCCATTGCTTGACACCAGGCAATACACGCCAGTCTATGGGAGAAACGCACAAAAGTAAGAATATTAAAGCATGTACGCTGTGCTCGGAGGCTGGTATTTTATGGTGTGCTGCGATCCTTATGTCGGGTGTTTGGAGATCAAATCGGTATTTGTCAAACGTTCAAACGCCGATTAAAAAAATCAAACGTACCGGAGCACCCACGCCTGAGCTGGCAAGCTTGCTCTCGTAGTGAAGTAAACAAAGGAACTTGCAGTCGATGAGACCGTCCTCGGGGAAGCCCAGAAGTTGATAAATGACAAAGAAGTTCCACCTCGACAGCAGCTTTCCGGGAGTGAGCGAATTCCGCGTAGCAAAGCCTTCGAGCTTGTCGTCTGCTAAACCCAACTCAATGAGACCGCCACCAACTCCACGGTAACTCGAGGTAACTCTCGCCTCATTGAGCTGCACTACAGCGGAGTCACTCTCGACCACAAAATATTTATTTATAAGAACTGCGAGGGCTGCCAGTTTTAAGTTTTGTACGCAAGCTATTTGCCGCGCTTATCGAAAAGCATCCAAAAAGTTTCAGTGCCGACAACAACTTAGAAACGGGGGAAACGGCACTTTTTCTCGTTGTTTCCATAGACTCCCATGCATTGGCTGGTGTCAATCAATGGCCGCCGGTGGCGACACTCGGCCCTAGCTGCCGAAGCCCCTGTCCGCGATCCAGCCTACTACAATAGAGATCAGTGGGTCCGACGATTGCGACCGCGGGCCGTTTCAGAGTTGCGAGAAGTCCACTTAGGATGGCGCTACCTGTCGAACAAAACTTAGTTGCCTAAGTCGCGTTAGGCTGGAGTAACTCTAGTCTCTGGCCACTTAAGAAACGTAGGGTGTGGGCAGTTTTTAACACGTTATTATGGCTTCGCAGCCAATAGGATTGCGAGATTAGTCGCCAAGAGTGCCCAAAACGCAATCACTAGGTGTGTTCGTAATAAGCCGCAGCCTGCCTTTCTAATGTTGTCAGTGTTTCCATACTGAAGAGTAATATTACGCATAGTTCGTTCGCTCAGAAAAGTTTAGTTCTCACAACATTTTGTTGTCAGAAAGCTAAACGAGGCTATGCCTAATGCGTTTCAAATGTTTACTTGTTAATAAAACAACTAATAACTGACCTTCGATGGTGATATAAGTATGTAAATTCACCACATAAAAGAAAAAAAAATTACGCTACGCAAAAGGTTGGTTTTTATTTTTTTATTATGGTTATACAGGTAAAAATCTATAGTCTATAGACTATTTTTTTTTTCATTTA